CCAAGCTAATTATCTGGAAGGAAGAAAGATAGCTGACAGACGGAAGGAGGCAATTCAGGTCAAATTACTTGTTGTGCTCACTCCCCATGTTGACCATTTGCCCTCAATTAGCCCAGAACCCCGTCTCAATGCCCATGCCAATGAAGTGAAGTGTGAGAGGGGTGCAGAGAGAAAATGTAACACCTACCTCGACGACTATCTATGCACTACCCGGTGGTGAAAGTCAGGTTGTAAATAAAAACCGATGGGGTAAAAGAACTTGCAGCCAAGATTCCACCACATTTTACTACTTTTCAAATCTTGAGTGTAGGCTAGGCTAAAAAATGCCACATTCCTAAAATCGTTTTTGGAAGTTTAACACTGATTGTGATGCATTGTAGAACTTTAATTAATCGAGTTTACTAACATTATGTTGAGAATTGAACTTTTAAGAATTTTCTGGCCTCGATTTTATCCAAAGTGTAAGTAAGTTTGTCGAATGACATCTTTTTTTATTCTCACCCTCCAACCAAACAATGTCAAGGTTGGAATTCTACAATAAAGTTATCTTTAAAAAATGACCTTGCAAACGTTCAACTTCCAACAATGCAGTACAATAAATAAAGTATTGTTGATAATGTGACTCTACTTCATCTCACACGATATATGTACACGTAGCCACGAGATACGTAACATTTCTCTGCATTATAAGTTCTCGCCAAAGTTAAGTTACTCTTTCTCCTGGTCTTTTTATCATTTCCAACTCAGCTTCATGCACAACACAACTTTCTTGCTCGTTTTTGGGTGATGGACTCTGGATAAAATTTCGGTTTGATGCCAATAAACCTTTCTCTTGGCTCTAATCCTTATTATCAGCCCACTGCACTCACCCACCACCAACTTAACTTAGACACCAAGTGTGGTGTAGGAGACCAACAACTGCATCGTCGTCCTCTTGTTCATGACTCAAAGAAGAAAGAAATTTTTCGATGTACGCCAACAAATTTGGTCAGGTCTCACTCCACCATCGACACCTTCACCCCACGAACGAACCAATAATAATGCTCGTCCCTTCTTCTTCTTCTTGACAAAGTGGAAGTGAAAGTAAAAAAAACCAGTAGCAGAGTTATTTCGTTGAGGTGAATGAGGTGTTGGCTTTCGTCTTACTTTTCTTGTAATCAATAGATTTTCTTTGGTGCGACTGGTTTCATTTTTTTGGATTCTTTGTCCTATAATTCTTCTGTTGTGGTTTACTCCCTTTCAGATTTTATGACCTCCTGGCATGAGTTCCATGGGGAAAGAAAAGAGTGCATGTGATGCCAGCAGACTTTGATACTGGGCTCGCACGTGTTTTTAATATGGGAGTGCATGCGATTTTCCAAGATTTTTTGCACCATTTCCTACCCAACAATTTCCCTTTTCTTTCTCTGCAGGATATATGTTTATAATCGTGATCTATGACGGACTAAATTTTAAAGTGCAATAAAGCCTTGTTGATCATCACAGGTTGGTGTTTAAGTCTCGTCGACACATGCTCCTTCGTTATCCCACAAGTTTGAGAGTCGTTCCATGAAATGAACGAGGAGAGGTGGTTGAAGAAGTGTAAAAGAAAATGAGTCCATAATTGGTGTCGGTGTGGGACTGTACATTTCCTCCTATTCTCTTTTTATGCCGGAAGAGAAAGCAGCATAACAAAGTCTGCTCCTGATTCATCGACCACTTAGCCTTGCCACACATCTGAGGCTCATAATAATATTTCATTGTTCTTTCTTTCCTTCATGTTACGACAGATCAAACAGGGAAATGAGTGGTTTGGGGGATAGTTGAACTCGTGGTTACGTCCTTTTCTGGCTGTATCAAAGAACGGAAGCAGCGGTATTTCCTTACACAACTGGCTGGGATTGTGTTTCAGTGTTGGGTTTCATCTATGTAGTCAAGTTCTTATTACTGTTAGTGAGAAGGTGGTGGTGGACTCACTTAATGGACGAAGAGGAAAGGAGAACCTCCTTATATTTTGACCCATGAGGGAAAAGTGTAGAAAGAAATGGGACTGGATGATGGGCCAGCAGTAATTAGTAAGCGAGGGTGTAAAAAGCCAAACAAGAATCGTTACAGTAATCGTATGGCGTATGGTGTGCGATACATTATTGGATTTTGAGAGGTTAAAGGTTAACTTATTTTAAGATGGTGGTGACAGAGTCTCATTTCTAATTCACACTGCTTATCTAACAGAGTCGCGTGATGGTGCAAAATGTATATTTTCGCCGAATTATAGTTATTAGAAGTTACAACTTGCATTTTACAGTATAATTGCTGCTACTGCCCCCAAAACTAACTAAGTGGCGAGCTCGGGAAGGGATTTCATTTCAAGGGACAAGAAGACGAAGGCAGACTCAAACTTGGCAAGTTTAGGAAGCGAAAGTGCAAATGAAATCAGGAGCGAGGAGTGGCGAGAGATTCCTAGGAATGAATTTCTAATGCACAATGTAAGAAACTGGAGAAGTTCTAATAAAATTACAATTCCCATATGAATCCACCATCAGCTGCAAAACATATTTTACTTTTTGGACTCGACTACATATAAGATCACTAACAACCAACTTGTTCTCACTCCATCTCACGCACGCGAAATTATGCGAGATTCAGTACTTTGCATATTTCACGGAATAATTCAGGATAATCTCTTTCCTTTTCAGAACGAGACAAACCAAACAAACATGCAAAACACGAGCATATTCAGACACACAACAACACCATGACTATTCTGACATCACTATTCTATATCTTTCTATTCAATTCTGCAACGTCGTGATTCCAAAGTGCATGAGAACATCCATTATTTCCTCGATAGCAGCAAAGTTCAAGTGCAATGTGGAACCAACTTTGTAACTAAATTACAAAAAATATATAGTCTCCATAAAGAACAAATGGCAAAATAATTACTCGTTTTTTCCATTAAATTAACTCGTAGGTACGTATTTGTTCTTCCGTGAAATTGCAACGCCAAATGGCTTTCACCACATCACCAACCCGATTCCAACGGATGAACAGGTAAATAATGAAAATTTCAATGAAATACAATAAAGTTTTACAACTAACGATAATAAAATATGGTGATGGCCTTGGGGAGTTTGAGGGGAAAGTGCTGAGAGAGAAGACAGGGATGAAATGCGACGCTTGCTGTTATCAAAGTTACAAAGTCTGCTGCCAACTGTCTAAACTGAGGTTTGGACAAACAAACTTGTTTCATTGGGTGAAAGCAAGAACAATTAGCACAAGGTTTTGCTTTATTAATAAAACTAATTGGACCGAGAACCGATTCATCAAGAAGAAGTACTTTCTTCATAATTTCTTCATAATTCTTCAAAAGATTTCAACTCAAAGATACTGGGCATTTATTTATTCTCAAATCTTAAAACTTTTCACATTTCCCACGAGCTAGTTATCATCATTATTAATTAATTCGAGAAGAAAATATTACCATCGCAATAAGATAAACAAAAGTACAATCCATCATAATCATGCAACCACGGACAGTTGATTTTGTATAAAAGAGTAGTTTAAAATAGTGTCCATATTTTAAAACGGCATTTTTACATGTTGACATAAAACTACATACATAACGTAGCAGGAGGAGAGGAATTCAAGACTGATTTTCTGTTAAAATAAGTAAAATAAGGTAGTTTGCATTCCCTCCACGACCAAAAAGGAAAAGAGAAGAGAAAAAAACGGAGAAAGACTTTTGAGCAGTTAAAATAGAGTTGGATTAACAGAGATTTGAAGATTTCCTTGAAAATAGTAATAGATGAGAGCCGTAAACTTGCACCGTTATTTCATTTGGTGCACACCCACCAACTCGCTCTGCAGAAAAATCAGGGAAATCACAAACAATAAAATACGTGGTTGCGGATGTGCTCCTCTTGTGTGCATGGAATTTGTTTTTGGTTGTTAAACGTCCAAGAGCACTTTGTTCTATTGACAGTTGTTGTAACATTGAAAAGAGAGGAAAGGATTGTGTGCTACTTCCCACACCCGAGCCTTCACATTACTGTTGTCTGTTTGTGGCCGGATGGGGGATGGTGATGGAAGAAACCAAGAAAAAGATCTCGGAGGAGATGGAAGTCCATAAAGGATTGAAATGTTTGAAGAAAGAGTTCGAGTGGAGAATACTAATGACCAACAGCACAAGGATTGAGTTTGGTCGTGCCGAAGAAAGCAAATGTTTGGAAACAATGCCCACACTCTGCCAGGAGTAGTTACATCCAAGGTAAGTGTGCTACCCCACCACCAGTCACCTTACATAGTTCTTAGAGTCAACAAGTTAGCAGCAGGGTTGATGGTCAAACAAAGGCGGAAGAAACCGTGCTTGGTGACGATATGACGAAGAAAGCTTAATGTGCTTCATCCGCTGTGCTAATTTGTAAAAGGTGCACAATTTTAAAGTAGAAAAAGTCGAAAACTCGGTGAAATCATGTTATCCAACTGGGGAAAGTACATGTGTCCCACGGAACGAGATGTACCAAATGAGATTTATACAAACTCACACGAGAATGATAATACGAGGCTCTTAATGGCAATGTATTTATCGATTTCACAGAAATATTTGCCTTCAGTGAATGCATATTTACATCTGTATTGAGGAAATCATCCCTCAAAATTTAAAGTATGTCAGACTGACTGCTATGCGTATTTTACTCCCACATTTTTGATGCCGAGTGATGGAATGCCCAAGTTTTAGCAGATACATATGTATAAATGAGATAATCATGTAACTAGTGATTTTAGCAAATGTTGCAATTCATCAAAACTTGATTCTGGTATTGAATTAATCCATCGCGAAAATGCAGTTTTAAGTTATATCTATGTACTTTCATGTCGTAAAATAGGAAAAACAAGCTGAGAACAGTAGTCACATTTTCATTGGCAGGTTTAACCATAAGTTTATGTTTATGATAGTTTATGATATATGTATCATATCACATCAAAAGAAACAAATATAATACGATAAGTGATTTACATACCAAGTGAGCCGATGTTGACTTGACACTAGAGTCTTGTTGGGTTGAGTTGTGGTGTTTGAGACATGAATTGATGAATCCTAACCCAGCGGCTGCCTTTGTTCTTTGCACAATTTACGCAATTCAATTACCATTGATGCAGAACAAGTTGAGTTAGGAGCTGATTAGGAAATCAATCTGTTGCAATTTTCCATGAATCTGGCATGACAAATTTCTTGATACTCTCAAATTAAACAGCATGTCACTTCATTTGTGTAAACCTCACAATGCTCATTTTCGGCTTTACAGGTTTTCCATGATGAACTGACATGCTACTTTAATTTGAGATTATGCATTTACTTTGATTTGCTGATATTCACGATGTAAAAAAAACCCGTTTTGGACCAAAGGCCTCTGATGATGAGCCAAGTGTAATTCGTAATATATCGGAATGTCTTGTATTTTTTGTAAATAGTACTTTGTGTTATCTTTGCACGTACAAGATTGTACTCAAATAGTTTCTTTCAACAATGGACTATTGTTTTTCACTTATTTTGCACTATAGAGGAACAAACTGAGCAACGGGGAAAAGGGTTGTCTCACATCGCCCCAAAAACTGCTCCTCCGACTTTCTCTTCTTGTTTATCAAACATTTTACAAGAGTTCTGTATATTTATACACTTTGGACGAATAATTTTGCAGTTTTAGTCTCCTTGTGTGATTGAGAACTTTGTTTTTATAATTTTAAAAAGCACAGCCGTACTGGAAGCCGTCATGCAGCATACTGACTGAGCCTGTAACGAGCAGTTTTGTTGAACCGGAATAGTAAAACAAGAAATTGTTCCGTCGTTGGTGTTGCGATAGAGTGGTGGTTGTTGCAGGTAATAAATAATTGTTGGGCGTAAATCGCATAACTCAATTCAGTTCAGCGACTTTTATCAAGAAACAACAACTGTCGTTGGTCTTATTCCTTTGTTCTAAAGGAGCGTTTGGGGAGAAATTTTTGTGCATATTGAATGCAATATTGCTGTAAAAGAGAGAGAAAAACAGGTCAGAAATGCACATGCCAAATGTATAAAATAATAACATTGAGACGAACCAGAACGAATTTTTAGTGGGATGGAAATGACGTCAGAGCCTTTGAAGAAAGCCACCGGCCGTCAAGTAAGTGTCCAAATTGTGCATTTGTAACCACTTAAGATGTTATCGTATCGTGGTGGCACTTAAATATACAATGGTTAAAAAAGCGAGGTGAGAAAGGAGGAGAGTGAGAAAGTTGTTGGCTGAGTAGGAAAATTTGTCCCGAGATGTTTAGCCTGCAGGAGTCCGACATGTATTACTGAACACGGAGCAAGTTAAGCACCCCGATTTTGTTGTACACTTGTTCTCCCATCAGAATCGTGTGTGCTCTCTGTGTGTTCTCTGCTACTCCTTCTCCACGTCGTCCTGGTGGTGGTGCGACGGTGGTGAAAGCAGAGGGAAAGAAGGGGAAGAAAGTGGGGAGACAGCAGTGGCATATTTTCAAATCCGTTCACAAAATTCTACTTTTGGTGGAGGACACCACGATTTTTCTGCTTTGGTTGATGATGCATTATGCAAAAAAAAGAGACTTTGAAAAAATGATGCATTTCATTTGCACACAAATTGTGAGCACCAGTTATTTAATTTCGTTCTTTGAACTCTACGACACAAATCGGAAACCAAACATTTGAATAATTTATATCTCATTCAATTTAAGAGAGGGAGAGAGAGAGAGATTACATTATCCACTGTTTGTTGGTTGGTTGTTCTTATACAAAGTCAACTTCATTAACAGGCTTGTTTATTAATTTGCTATATATCCGATGAGTGTCTTATTTTCGAGTTGTTCTTATCAGGTAAACTTTGAAGTTGGTTGGGTTTAGGTTGATGGAAATCTATCTTCCTCCAAATTCTGTTGTAAATGTATTTTTAATGCATTTCTAAAGTCCCACCAATGAATGTCTAGCACCACAAAACGCAACTATGTGTATATATACCAGCTACAAAATAAGGAAGCAAGATGCAGACGAAATAGAGATTAATTGCTGAATAATTAATCGCACGCGGGGAGCTCTCATGCGGTTGTGCCTACGTCGGAAACTTTCATTCTCTGACCCTATCATGCTGGATTTTCTTGTGATGAATCTGTTTGAAATCTAAATTTAAATAACGGGATGCACTACTGAGGTACAAACTGAAGGTTACCAACTTCATCTATTCCTAAGGGACGCTGTCAGCGTGTAAATTTTGAAATATGATTGTGATGCACCAAAACGATCAAATTTACAAAAATATAAATGTTTGAATATGAATTAACGTATCAGTCTCTGTGTGAGTTGTACATTGCGAATTTAGTAAAATGGTCAATATTGTGACAGAATGTGTTATGAGCTTGGTGCCCGTAATGTTTTATTAGTGTTCATTTATGTACTTATGCACAACATGATTATGTAACTGCTCCACCGTAAATCATTCAAACTTGGCTGCCTTGTTTATTAGCACTTTTCGGATTCTTACTCTAACATTGTTGCTGGTTAATAATTAAGCACTGTTTTAATTAAGGATGACAAATACAAGCTTAAAGTGAAAGTAATCACAAACACTGCGCAGAGTTGGAGGACAAATAAACGAAAGGTTTTGAAACTTACGTATACGCGTAAATATGTGAATAAATGGATGAGTGACAATTTTTAAGTGATCTTGGTCCAATGTCATCAAAAAATTGTATAAGTAACGAAAATATTAGTATAATAAATAACACGCGAAAATGTTCAGTACGCAATGAATATTGATAGCAAACGTGCAATCTTGATGTCACATTTGACTTTTTTTCGACAGTGTTTATTTCACCAGCCAAACCAAACGATAAATTGGTTCTTTAGAGATTAATCATACCATATATGCCGCGTGCTGAATAGTTGTTGTAAAAATAAAACTACAACTATGATGGGCTTCACATGGAGCATTTTGATTAATGAAATATCAACATTTTTGAATCACGGTGAGAAGAAAAAAAGAGATTAGGACGACAAGACTGTGTTTACAACGTGGCATTGTGGTGAAATTATGGGTTAAAAATGAGTCGTGAATTCCAGAGGAAATTCATGTGCACCGACAATAACTCATTGCGTTTGGCAAGAGTTTTATGAAGGGCCAATCAAATAGTATGTATTTAGTCGCAGTCAGTCCACTTTTCGTGTAAGAAGAGCATCCGGAATTTCGCCTTGCTCACACTTTTCTGGTCAACACATCTCATAAGCCAATTCAGCAGCAGTGGAGGTTCATGCTCAACTTGGCGAATATATGCCTTCATGTTGTGTGGAGAAAGCACAATTCAATCGAGAAAAGAAACAACCACCACAAGTTCCCTTTTTACGGAAACGTTTCGGCACTCCAACATGTTTTATTGCCGGTCATTTGTATCGTACAAGTCATGCAATCTTGACAATTTGATGCAATCTTGTTCGTATGACGATTTTCCTCTGGAGGAATGAAGGGGTGCCGAAGTTCAAAAACCAGTAAGTTGTAAATGTATCCGTCACATAGAAGAATAGCCAAATTATTTTCAATCATAAAACTTGCTGTTAAATTAAGATTTTTCTCGACCGATTGTTCGACATATCCGTTTCACCTTTTGGAATTTTAAACCTATTCGAGTCAAATAATTTTCATAACTTTTATGGAAGTTGGCGTGGGTGACGTTACTGTAAATGCTAGTGTTTAAATAATCTTGTAGTTATTTACAAGACCAATAACATTTCACTACTGCCAATCTTGAGTTACAGGTTGGGCTATAACAGGATGTCATGTCTGTGCTTGCGTAAGGTGTTGGTGATGAAGGGGAAGTAATCCGTCAGTCACTTGCGTGGTCCATCAGGCTATTTAGAAACTCGTATATTTATGTAGGTATTTATATTCCCGTTCTTTTGAAATGAAGGGAGGGTGCATTTCTTCCTGACATGATGCAGCCGTCTGTAGGACCTACATTTATCCAGGGAAAGTGGATTAGGATGTCAGATCCTAAACTCAACTCAGCATTAAATCCTGAACCGAAAACACTCAACAACTTTTTCAAGATTGCACACGAATAATATCCTCATTGAAAAGGGATGAGTTGTGCGTATGTAAGTGGGCAAATGCAAGTGAAAGTATGATGCCAGTCTCTTCAAATATCAACTTCAACCAAGTTCGCATTCCAATTTACTCACTCAGCACAACAGATTTCTTATTGGTACAGTTTCACCAATACCACAATTATAGGAATATCATAAAGATTCATACAAGAAGCCAGTTGTCCATTTAATTGTAAATGTCACCAAATTATGTCTCGTTATTGACATGCATTTAAATTTGCATACATATATGTAAATAGGACGCGAATGTGGAATTTTGTCCACAATTGTATTGTCATCAATATTATCTATATATTTTTGGATGATATGCTAGTTTTTAGTATTTACGGGGTTTCGAGATAAAAATTTACAACGTCCCTTAGCCACCATTTAACCGTGTCGGCCTTATCTTAGCATATTTTGAGCATCGTGAATCCGAGATGAAAATGCTATCCGATTTATGCTTCTCCTTTGTTTCTTCGGAAATCCCTTGGCTGTCTTGACGGAGGAGTAAATGTCCTCATCATCCACCTACCACAGCATCATTGCAACCAACTCACCTTACTTTCTCCGTCTTGCATCTCCTCCCTTACGCCCAAATTCTCTACCTGTCAACTCACCCCAACCTCAACGACCAATAAGGCCGTGTTGAGAGTCAAGATGTTGTTTCCTCTGTTCAGATTTAGCGAACAACGGCATTCCACCAAAGTTCGGATCGTACCATCAACATCAACAACAGCTCTTTCAACTTTCTCTTAATATCACTTACCTTCTCGTTTTATGGCCCTTAAACAAGGGGATTTTTACCGTAATCTCGTTAGAGTTTCATCAGCATGCAACATTATCTTCTCATCATGTTTGAATCGGTAAGAAGAAAAGGAAGAAGATTTCTAAAATTAAGCTCTTCGAGTAAAATTGCACTGGGAAGTACAGAGGATGGTTTACTTGAACAGAAACCTTATAACATTTTAAGACGACGACTGCAAATTTTGTTTTTGCTCAATGTTTTCTCCAGCTTTCTGAACAACTAGTCTGATTTTTCATAAAAGATTCGAACACATTTTGACACATTTCAAGGGGACAAGATAGCTTCATAGTTTGAGTTTTTCTGTTTTCGTGTGCAAGCCTTTTATCTGAACTGATTTATTAAAATCTTGATGTCGTAAGATGAGTTTCAGATTTTTGGATTATCGTTTTGATACTGTTCAGGATCAAACTGGCCAAGAAATGCGTGTTTTCTGGACACTCAACTTCAAGGGTCAGTTTTGCCTGCCATTTTTTAAGATATCAATTTGAAACTTGGAATATGCCTTCCCGAGACCTTCAAGATTATGTGTACCAAACTTGGCACAAATAGAACCATGCGTTTGTATGTTACCCATGTAATTGTTCTGTTCACGTAACGTGTAGTCAACCTTTAGTAGTTGTTCAACAAGGAACATGCTGCATACAACTTTATGAATCATTACGTTTAGAACAACGACCATGCACTTCCACCTTATGTACAATTATGCAGCACAATCGTGAAAATGATGAAAACTCTCGAGCTGCTGTGACACGAGGAGGGAAAGTCACAGTTTTCTGTGACGATGATGACGACGAAGGAAATGGATTTAGTGGAGGAGAGAATGGAATACAGCGGCATTATTCACTCCCATAAAGTGGTCCATTCTCCACCAGCTAAACTACTGCTGTGAAGTATAAACTTTGCGGAAAAAGAGAAGCACACAGTTAAGAATTAACCGGGATGATGATGATGAAGGAATAGGAGAATGAGAAGAACAACGTCATTCATGAGTTTGAAGTAGAAAAGTTGGTGAAAGTGAGGACGGGAGAAAGTCGTCGTGTGATGAAGACTTCACCCTGCTTTTCCTTTCCATGTCCTCTTTCTCTTTGTGAATGACTTGAGAGTTTGTCGGGAACAAAGTGGAGCGTCACATTAGCAATAATTCCGGGATGTAATTAACTCTTTTATGAAAGATCCAAAGTTGAGGTTAGTTGTCTGTCTTTCTCACTTTTACAACACCATGGGCAATTATTAGTTCCACTTCAGCCCTCAAATCCAACTAGGAGGACCAACTATCCAGAAAACTATTATATCAAGCCCTACAACTTTGACCCCTCTGATTATCCAACTGTTCTTGGTACATGTTTTTTTCCTTGTGAAATTTGGCACTGAAAATAAATAAATAAATGAAATACAAACTTTTCTCATCATCATACCGTGTGAAACACAACTAGTGGTGCGGAATTAAAGTGGATCCGATTCCATTGTGGAATTAACATCGTTTTTGTAATAATTGAATGATTGTAAAATGGAAATGATGGAAACACGAACGCAATTGAAGCCGCTGGGAATTATTAATGTATGTATAGCTGTTTGATTTTAGGAAATTTACCAACCTCTTGTTTTACTATGACATATGTATGAACCTTGTTGAAGCAGAGCTGAGGACTTGTAATCTGGAACCAGGAAGAAACTAAGGGAGCTAACAAATGGTCAAGATTAAGGGTATTTCGACAAATCCTGGAATTTCATGAAAGTGCACGAACCAACCCCATGCTGTTGTTTGAATTGGCTGTGTGTCTCCGGCATCGCCATTCCCTCTGTTTCGCTAAAGAGTAAAAGTATAAGTTGGTGAGAACAAGTCTTTATCACGATCCGATGTCATCCTCGCTTGTCCGCCTGGGTGATAGGAAGTGGTGTACATTTGTACACCCAAAAACGTGGCTATACAGAACGAGTGGTGTCCGTAATGTGATCCTGCATGATAGTTATCACTCACTAAATATCTCCAACCGTCAATCCATGCATATCATATCTCCAGCTTAACTATGCACATCTTGATATTCTCCTTTCACACGATATGAAGGGTTATGAAATTGAGTTGCAAATCCTTTTTGTCTTTGATCCACGTTTCGATTCGATGGTTGATGATTGTCGACGAAGAATATTAGACAGTGTCGGAGAGCAGTGGGTTCAGTGGTTCCATAGACAGCTTGACACGGTATGATTATTGTATTAAAGAAATTAGTTGATTTTGGGGTGGAAATAGGTGTGAAATAAGAGGTGGGACCACAATATATCAAGGAAAGACATGAAAGGAATAACCGTGTGTGTGTAGCACCCACCACAAACCTTTCTTGCAGCATTTAAATGAGTAATATGAGAATTGCGTGCTGTTCGGGAGTTTGCCCACGGTACCCATTCACCACGGCCATTCTATTCTATTTTACATGGAAAATATGTGGCTAATGTCAAATCTTAGATGTAACAAAACACCCGATCCCATCTCAGATTCCGCAGGTCAAAATTAGTCGACGGCTATTTATTACAGGGACACATGCACTCATCCCCAACCGACGCACCGGCATTCTACATACGCGTACAGGATTTGCAGAAATTGCAGCTATGCATTTTTCAATAGAATAAATAAATAGGGGATGAGCAAAGGTGGTTTCAATTTGAACATTACTTTGCGACTTTGCGGTACTGTTAATTCTGCAGGGCTGCAAATAATTGGGGAATATTTTTGTGAATCAATGCTAACGTAAAAAATGAAGACCTATCATTGAAATGTAATTTATTGAAATATACTTGAACGAGATGGTAATTTTTATTGATTGATTCGTCGAGTTTTAAATGTGTGCATATAGCTTCTAATGCATGGAAATAAGTCGAGAAATTAATGAATTATATTCTTTTATTTGTAAATAATCCATAAAGGTAGAAACTTATACTATTGAGTACAATTGCCAGTTAGGTAAATTACAATTGAGGTAAATACAAGTAAATAACAATAGCTTGAGTGAAACAAAAATAATGTTTCTGCACATTTTCAGATCACGTTTGAAAATGAAAATATTGACATTTTCAGTAATAGACATTCAAAGTTTGTTCGTGCATTATTACATAGGTTATAAAGCTCATGAATTTCTCGCCACTATTTTTTTTACCAGATCTTATCTTATCTTACTTAGGTCGGGGTCTATCGGGGGGTCAAAATGCAGGTTACTTCTGACTTGCCGCAATTCATTCCCATCAGACAAACCTGAAAATGTCAAATGCCTGAAAAAGTGGCATAAAAATTTAGAAAAAAACTGCAAAACTCGAGTTAGAGGAGGAAGTTGTCTCAAATATTTATGATATTTATGAGCCTAGGTAAAAGTAGTGGTGGTATGTTGACCGAATTTATGTGAAGAAATGCCACAAAGGAAGTCGGGGTGTGAAAATGGGCCTAGATTACAATTTTACTCCGTGGAACAGCCAAACCACCGACCTTACTCCGGGTCGAATGTCAACTGAAGAAAGCTGCTCCAAAGTGAAAGTAACCTGCAATGCAAGTCTGCACTGTTGTATATTTAGTATTTACAGTCGTAAGGTTTAGTCAGTCAGCCATTCATTCATTCATCCCTGCGTTCATGCGAGTCTGCAAAGTAATATTTAATGGTGGGTAATCGCTGACTAATTTAAAAGGTTTATTTGTATCAAACAAAGTACGAGGAGAAGGGAACGACTTGATTTTATCAGTGAAAGTAGGCAGGTCAAGCGTACGATAACCGTACGTATTTATACGGCTGCTTCTGAGCTGTGGCTGGTGTGGAGGTGAAATATTGATGCAAAAGATAGATTATGAAATGGCAGAGTAAATCCTGAACCAAACTCACAGTGTTTAGCTCGAGGGATAAAATTCGTGGATAGGAAGGTCTGAAAGTGCGTAGTCGAGAAGCACACAAGAAGTAGAACGAACAGATTGTAGAATAATTTGTCAGCAAGGGAGAAGGACGACGACGACTTGACTCAATATCTGAGTAATAATAATATGAGAATGTGTGTGATTTATTACTCGAGTCTCAAGTCAAAAGCTTCCGAATTCCATTAGCATGTCAGATTTATTGGGGAATCTTTTCTTATGAAATCCTTTTGAGGCTATGCAATCTGTGCTATCCTTTAGATAAAACTGTGCAGACGAGCGAGACTTGTAAACGAGATGTTGCACAACTTAATGCAATTAAGTAGTTGGTTGGTTGGTTGTGTTTGACAAAGAATTTTTATTATGACTAGGAACAACTATGTCTGTACTTTATGTATTTACATACTCGAATGCATTAGTTTTGATAAAGGAAATGTTGATAGTATCAATAATTTACGTGGCGCATTTTAATAAATATATGTAAAATCCACTTACATAACAGTATGATTTGTCCCAGTAAAAAACAGGAATGTCAATATAATTATTAGAAGGTAGAAACTAATCTGACTTCTTAATTAATTTCCAAGCTCCTATTGCGTAGTGAAACCAAATAAGGAACAAATCTCGTCCCATTTGCAACCAGCTTAAGATTGGCGTCACCTTAGAACCTGGAAATATAATGGAGATGTTCAAACAATAATACATATATTATTATTATTTAGTGTAACAAAGTATTTAATACAATACAACTATGCAAACCTTCAATTTCAGTCCAATTCACTCCTACTTCAGCAATTGGAATTTTTAGGGCTTGAGCAATGCATAATAGTTCAACATCAAATGCCCTGCAATCGATCAAGTGAAGTCATCAACATAAATTTATAACGTGCGTTTCATAAGTAACTGACTATACTCTTACCATCGTTCAATGTGCAAATTCGAAAAACATTTTCTAGCTGCTGCTCTAGTAAAAAGCTTGAAACCGCACTGAGTATCTCGAATTCCTCTCACAGTAAGAATGTACACAAGTAAATGGAAGCCCCGCATAAGGATTGTACGAAATATAGATCGTGTCGCGATAGCTTCTTCCTCCATGTGCGCCCTGGATCCGCAAACTATTCCTTGAAATTGCTCTACATCACCGGAATATTTATCTGTCGTGAAAAACAACAACAAAGCACAATGAACCAGACCCAAGGAATAACTAACATCAACTTGTAAAGGTTGAACTCATTTAAATCACCTTGTTTCATCAGGTCTATAAGAGCTTTATATAATTTATCGTAATCGGCAAACTTTGTGGCACCATCGGCATCAGCGAATAAAATACATTTACCCCTACTACTAAGAACACCCTAAAAATGAAATGATACCAAAGCATTAAGTAAAGTGTTCTCGACACTAGATAATCATTCGCACTTTCAAATAATTTTGAATATTTGACATACCAGTCTAACTGCGCCTCCTTTTCCTCTATTTTTAATCAAATCAAGTAGTCTGACTTTATCAACGCTAAACTTTTTTGCATAGTCCAGCGCCACATTCACCGTCCCATCCGTACTTCCATCACTCACAATGATAACTTCATAGGAAAAGTCAGAATTCGTTTTTGACTTTTGTTCCAAAAAGTGTAAACATTCCTCCAGCATGGGCGGTACTAGGATAACAATAAACATATTAATATTTAACCATCTCTATCACATTATCTTATGTCATGCATCTTCTTACATCTCTCTTCTTCAAAATATGCAGGAACTATCACAGAACAGGTTAACGCGGCTTTATCCTCTAGCGAAGGGAATTTGGACTTCTTCTTGTTAACGGGATCAGTAAAGGATTCCTCTTCCGGATATCTTTTCACAACCGGATAAGGATTCCCCCTTCTTAAAACCATTCCAAGCTACAAACGATAATGCAAAAATCAGTAAGTTACTCTAAAACTTGAAACTTAACAAACAACTTCTATTTTTACCACAACAAGAAATCCGGCTACCAGCACGACTCCAACGCCGATAAGCAGCCCGATAAGGTTTAATGCCCCTGATAAGTCCATCCTCGAAGGAACAAAATTACAAACAAAAATAATTTAACGTTATCTAAGAACCATCAAAGCAGCAGCTGAGCTAACTGTCGTGTTGTTGATGACAGGGCTGACGGGTTGAAAATCCCAACAGCGTGGGGAACCTTGCGAGTGAAATGCGGGTTGGGCTCGCGTGTCCACATTTTCTACACACCCAATGGACAATTTATTTAGCCAATTATTTAACCCTAATCTAATCCCCATCTAATCTTAGCATGTCTGCCATGTGTTTATTTTAGAAAATTTAATGTTTGCTGCTGATCATCTTTTGTGAAAAGAAAAATGAAGCTCTGATTGAGAGAGAGAGAGACTACGAACTCTAGATGTGAAAAGCACATGTCAACAAGAGACAACAATGAACGTTACGAGAATCTTGAACTAGTCATAATTAAGTCAAGTCAAGTCAATCAGTGTTTGTTGAGATTTGTTTACATTTATGGTGTTGCATGCTCCAGTGTTGCTCATATAAGAGTAATACTTACAATTTTTGATCTACCTTTATAATAATATCATAAAATTAGTTGCAAGTCGTTTGAATAATTTTTACGAAAAGTGGGGCCGTGTTAAAAAGTGAAGGTGGTTATCGGGTTCTGGAGAGATGTCATATACGGAACTGGAAGCTGGATATCGAGGACTCCTTGAGAACTTTTACAACTATTGTTCCCAAGCTTGTAATGCTAGGGTAAGTTGGAATTTTGGTAATACTTAATTATAAAGTAGTTGTTTTGTAAAGTGATTGTTTTGTTGGCGAATTTCTGACATCTCACTCAACCGGCTACCGGCAGTGCATGGAACATTTTTTAAATCTTGTTATCTTGCATAAATTACTTTCGTCAATTGTCAGGAATGCATCATGATGACATTGCCAAGAATTTAGTGAATGTGGGGGGTGCAAGAATTGAGTGTTTGACATAAATGATTCACTTTCTTCGCCTCATTTACACTGTACATGCTACGGAAGAAAGTACGTAATAGTTTAGTTGTGTAATGGGCATAATTTTTGGTATATGAATTTTTGGCACCGTCTCAAGACTGCGGTCTTTAAGTGCAAAGTCTATATATCTGTAATTCTATACTTTCAGAAAGGATTCCATATATTCTGTACCATGATTATAATAAGAAAGTTGAATCGGATACTCTCCGAAAGAGAGATATGGCAAAAAAGTTGAACTTGTTACATGAGAACATTTTTTTGATCGTCGCCAATGCATATAATGGGACACATTACGTTTTACTTGCAAAGTGTGTCAATCTATTGTTCTTAAAAACCTTGTCTTCGGAATAGTGTATACGTTATGTTCTTGCCTGACTTGAAAAACAAGGTATCTTTTTAGTATAGTACACACAGAGACACAATACCGCAATAATTGTGATTCGTTTTTGGCAAACGGTTGGTATTGTACTTATGCACTCATTAGATAATAAAAGACGCCATTTACTAGTACTACCAGTGTCTACTGTTACTAGTACATATATTTAAGTAAAAGTTTGGCTTGTCCTTCAAACACGTTCAGTATAGTTACAATTTCCAAGTACAATTGTTTTGTATCCCACGACCTTTTTGATATTCATATTTTTACCATTTATTGGTATTTGCTACCTATTTGAAAGATTGAATCTCTGACTTTATCTGTTAGGCATTCGTTTAACAATGGCTACCTGCTTTTCCTTAAAGCAGCTAATCAAGAGCTTATCAAAGGCGAAAGTAAAGACATGAAGGAGTTTTAATAAAACTGTCGTATCTTTCGAAACTACAAAAAGATTTATTTCATACATATTGTTTTGCAGGTCGCAATGTTTGACGGAAGTGACAAGGACCTTTTGGACAAATCAGGGAAGCAAGTTGTCGTTGGGATTTGTGCAATGGCGAAAAAATCAATGTCTAAACCCATGAAAGAAATTTTAACCCGTTTGGACGACTTTGAGTACATTAAGACTGTAGTATTTCCAGAAGAAACGATATTGGGGGTAAGAAAATAAACAAGAGTTACATAAAGTGCTTTCTTTTTGCTTACAATTAAAAATGACATTGTGTGTTCTTTTAATAATTGCAGTTACCCGTTGAAGAATGGCCGTTATGTGACTGCCTAATTTCATTCCATTCAAAAGCTAGTCAAGCTCAATTTCCACTGGACAAAGCCATTAGTTATGCACAGTTACGAAACCCGTATATTATCAACAATATCGAAATGCAGTACGAAATTCAGGATAGGAGAAAAGTATACGGTATTTTGGAAAAGGAGGAAATACTTCTTCCTAGAAACGCTGTCCTGGATAGAGATAGTCCAGACCCGAAAAGTTGGTTAACTTTTATGTATTTTCGAATTGACGACTGAAACCGTGTGCGCAATGTTTATTAAAAGACTGATTTTTGGTTACAGTGCACGAGCTGATTGAATCAGAAGATCATGTAGAAGTTAACGGAGTGATATTCAATAAACCATTCGTAGAAAAACCTGTTTCCGCAGAAGACCACAATATTTATATTTATTATCCGACCTCCGCTGGCGGAGGAAGTCAAAGGTTGTTTCGTAAAATTGGAAGTCGCAGTAGCGTTTATTCTCCTGAATCTCGAGTACGTAAAACGGGTTCTTATATTTATGAAGATTTTATGCCAACGGATGGGACCGATGTAAAGGTTTGTACCATATTTAAAAATAAAAGTTTTGTTAAATGATAACGATTGAGATAATTTAGGTTTACACCGTCGGACCTGATTATGCTCATGCAGAAGCAAGAAAATCGCCAGCCTTAGACGGTGTGTACATTCAATAAGCACTAGAAAATCAATCTCGGGATATATCAAATTATACAATGCATTTATTCCGTTCTCATATTGTAGGCAAGGTTGAAAGAGACTCTGAAGGGAAAGAGGTCCGGTATCCTGTGATATTGAGTGCTGCAGAAAAATTGATTGCAAGGAAGGTTTGCTTAGCGTTTAAGCAGACAGTTTGTGGATTTGATTTGTTGCGGTAATTTATTAATTGCATATTTGATAATCAATAATTAATATTGAATAGCCTGTAAAACTTTAATTCAATATCTTTGTACTCTATATTTTAGGGCCAACGGCAAATCCTACGTTTGTGATGTTAATGGTTTTAGTTTTGTTAAGAATTCAAACAAGTATTATGATGATTGTGCACGCATTTTGGGAAATATGATTCTTCGAGAATTGGCCCCACAACTTAGGATTCCATGGACAATCCCTTATCAACTTGACGACCCACCAATCGTCCCCACAACTTTCGGCAAAATGTAAGTTCCTCAACTTGAATATATCAGATATTTTGTGTCAATAAGATTGTTATTTTATGTATACACGATCTTTCTTACTAATTTAACATAATTATACAGGATGGAGCTTAGATGCGTCGTTGGTGTCATCAGACATGGTGAGGTTCTATTCTTAACTCGTAATTTAATCGAATTGGATCACAATGAATACATTTTAAATTTTATTTGAAGGTGATCGAACACCAAAACAAAAGATGAAAATGGAAGTTAGGCATCCAAAGTAAGTATTATACCTAAGCGCTGTACATATATATAAGTAGCTGTAATGAATTTCATACTAATTAATTAGACTATTTTAATTACATTATTTTATTGCAGATTTTTTGAACTTTTTGAAAAATGTGGAGGAACACCTCAAAAGAATGTAAAGCTAAAGAGACCTAAGCAACTCCAAGAAGTACTGGATATTGCAAGATTTCTACTGGCTGAGGGACAAAATTCGAAAGAAGCTGAAATCGATGAAAAAAGAGGCAAACTTGACCAATTAAAAAATGTTTTAGAAATGTATGTAATTAACCAAATCAACTTTTAGAGTGTACTATAAGCTAATGAAATATATGTTACAACTTAATTGCGTCAATTTTTTAGGTACGGGTATTTCTCTGGAATCAATAGGAAGGTCCAACTTAAATATCAACCTAAAGGAAGACCTAGAGCATCTAGCAGCGATGATGGTAACTCTTATAACAATATAGTTTAATTCTACATACAAAATGGGTCTAATTTTTAATTGCAGAATTTATTTGTGCAGATATACCAATGGAACCTTCACTAGTTCTTATCCTAAAATGGGGAGGTGAACTGACCCCAGCAGGAAGAGTGCAAGCCGAGGAATTAGGAAGAATATTCCGATGTATGTAACGTTTAAGTATATAAATATGGAATAATTGCAGTTGGTCAAAATAATAATTTCAAATAATAACTCGTGTGTGTATGTGTTGATTTCCAGGCATGTATCCCGGTGGTCAAGGTATGGTCGGCGTGATAATCGATGTCCTCTTTTTGAAATATATCCACATTAATGTTTTGCTCGCTTCCTGTCACTGTTTTGATTTTCCACTGTTTAACGCATAGTCCGGAACCACAATTTCAAGACGACTGAAATTGATGTTTATAATTACTTCAACTGTTAAGTCACTCACAGCTATTAGCGATTGTTGTGTTATTATGTGATTCCGGATTATTCGTTCTCAGTGGTTTACAAAATTAAACAAGTTCTCAATGTTCTTACCCCGTAAATTCTTATTAATATTTTGTCAAGACGAAGCCCCTAAGTGTTTTATTTTTTCTCGGAGCAGAATTCCGTTTTTGATCGTCAAACAGTTATTATTAATTTTTGTATTCAATGCACCCCTTGCCTGACCAAACACTCACACTACCTTGCACTTTTATATAAACGAGAGAGAACTTGATGTTGTGACAATGATCGAGAGAATATTAGTCCCTTCCTAGTCCTTTCCCGATTACGATTTTTACGATTCACGATCCAGCAAGGGAACCACTATGTCTTTCATTAGTAGTGAAAGTTCAGCCAATTAAGTTGTGTTAGGACATATCAAAAAAGTATTTAAAAAAACGACCTGTGTTTCATCCCTCCTTCTGCGAATCCACGAGGATGGATGCTAATCTTCTGATGGGTAAATGCTTTATGTTTATTTTTTGTTCATTTTTATTCCTTGGTGGCTATTAGGTAGTAAACTAGCTTTTTCATTGTGGCAGTTTGTTAGTAGGATGGATGACCGGGGGAGCTATTGAATCTGATGATGGTATGCTATATAATACCACACGATAAGTTGTAAAGTAAAAAAATATTTAATCGACGCTTCCCAAAATGTTGATAATTCTGACAGTTTGCTTAGTGTTTCTTTCTACAACAGTTGGTTGTTGTACGTTTTAAACCACTTGCTATACTACTTACTTGAATAATATTTCAACAATTACTTTTATGACGACTTTCACTCTGTCGATGTAAAGGGATGAACTTATACTTACACTCGAGTTGCTCGTTATGTTGATCTTTCATTATTATCTAGTAACTAAACTTGTCCTTCATGGAAAGGTCTGCGTATTGGTATTTAATCGACTAATTCGCTGTTACTAAGTAACTTTCACGTTGATTGGTTTTCATGTTAGTTAGCTATCATTTTCATATAATATAGCCATTAACCACCCGGCTGTCCTATCCTCGCAAGTGGTGTATGTATGTATGAATTTAATATTTATGCACGCGTGTCGTTGTATCGCTTGGTGCACTGTGTCAGGTAGTCCATGTTTTTGGTTGTCTCGGGGCTGGCATTGTATAATTTATTCGTAACTGTTCAATGTCTCTGTGACTTTGGATAATGCTTATATTCTCATGATGACACCTGTTATATCCCTAAGTTTTTGTTATGATTGTTGCTTCTTTCCTTATTTCTAAACTACGTTGGCTTTACACATCTCCAACTAATGCAAATCCTCAAAATCCGAACGATGAATATAACATCGTAGCATTTTGAGGATTACGCAGTGATTGTTAACTTTATAAAGTTTCTAATTTCTGGTTCAGGTGAATATGCAGGAACCCAAGGGCTTGGCCTGTTGCGGCTTCATTCAACATATAGGCACGATCTGAAGATTTACGCGAGTGATGAAGGGCGAGTACAGATGACTGCAGGTGTGCATGTGTTCCTGTTTTGTCCCTTTTAATGCTCGCTCAAATGAATGTAGCAAAACATTTGGGTTTAGCTGCGTTTGCAAAAGGATTGCTGGCACTGGAAGGAGAACTGACCCCAATTTTGGTGCAAATGGTGAAATCAGCCCATACCAATGGACTTTTGGACAACGATTGTGAGTCGAGTAAATTCCAGAGGCAGTAAGTATTGCAAATTATCTATTATTTGGGAGTCTACATATGTAAACGCATATCTTCTTATGGGAGAATTATACTAATTGCGTATTATGTTTAAATGTTTACAGAATCAAACAAAAGCTTCATGATTTAATGCAACAAGACAAGGATTTGACGGATGAAGATATTGAGAAAGTGAACCCATGCAATTCTATTTCCATCAACCAAGCGTTGAAATTTATAAAAAATCCACACAAGTGCTGTCAGATAGTATTGGACCTGATTCACAAATTACTTGTTCGAATCCAAGCAAAAAGAGATGATAGTAAAACAAAAGATGCAACCCTGTATCATGGAGAATCTTGGGATCTAATGGCTCGTAGGTGGGGAAAGTTGGAGAAAGATTTGAAAACTAAGGGAAATTTTGACGTAAGATTATTTATTGATAGACATAAATGGTTTTCTTTATGCTAAATTTTTCCGAACCTTGTAATTGAAATAGATTTCAAAAATTCCCGACATTTACGACTGCATCAAATATGATATCCAGCATAACTCACATGCTATCGGGTTCGACCAGGCAGAAGAACTTTATAAATATGCTAAATATCTTGCTGATATTGTGATACCTCAAGTTTGTTCAACATAATTGTTTCTTCGATTTCAGAGTTTCAATTGGTAACGATTTCTTGTTTATTCTTAGGAATACGGGCTTACTCAGTTGGACAAATTAGCAATTGCGCAAGGTATTTGTGCTCCACTCCTTCGTAAGATTAGAACTGATCTTCAGAGAAATGTGGGTGATCCAAACGACGAGTCTGTAAATCGTCTCAATCCAAGGTATTTTAATAGCAATCTATTCTATTAAACTAGCATACATAAATCATGTCGTTTGATCATTCCATTGGAAATACAACTAATCTATACTTTTATATCCACGTTGAGGAGTGCCATGTTATAAGAAAATGTTCATGTACATAAATACTGATTGCGACTGTTTTCTACAGGTATTCTCACGGAGTTTCAAGCCCAGGGCGTCATGTCAGAACGAGACTATATTTTACAAGTGAAAGTCACATTCATTCCCTTCTAACTGTAATTCGGTTCGGTGGTCTCCTTGAGGTATGCCTGTTCCCCAATTTGTTTATTGGTATATTGCACTATTTACTATGACTTTAACACATACTTTTATATGTAGCAAGTTAAGCAAGATGAACAGTGGAACCGTGCTATGGAGTATGTGAGTGCTATTTCTGAGCTTAATTATCTAACTCAGATCGTGATTATGCTATACGAAGATCCTACAAAGGACATTCATTCCGAAGAAAGGTACAGAGTGATAATTATAAACTAAGGCAATAAGTTGTTTTCGTAACGCCTTTGGATTCATTAGATTCCATGTCGAGCTTCATTTCAGTCCTGGTGTCAATTGCTGTGTCCAAAAAAATGTACCTGAAGGCCCAGGATTCCGTCCAAATAGTCGGAGTGAATCTTCAAAATCCATTGTAATTACTCGTTACCAGTAATGTTGAGCACATCTATTTGCCCAAGTAACATTATGACTTTTCTTGTACATATTTCAGCATAACGCAAACACTGAGAAAGAACAAAATCCTATACTCGATTTTGTAGAACCTGAGCCTGTGGATAAGGACAATATGCCGATTCAAATGTCATTCAGTGAATCGGAAGTGTGCAATCGACGTGCTGCAAGTTTCCGAATTTCGGACAAAGATAAAGAACAGGATTTGGCAAGTTTGGATGAAGATGACAAAGAGACGAGCAGCAGCGGTGTGACAGCTCTTCCGCTTTCTTCACAGCCTATACCCATAAAGTTCGTTATACTAGAAAGATTTCTTAACTGCTGCATTTTATATTTGAACGTATTACAAGAATACATTTAAACTCAAAGTCCCCCCTTTGGCAGAGATGCTCCTGTTCATCGAGAAATACGTGCTAATTCGATGGAAGTTGCCCCCTCATTCAAAGGTTATTTTTTTAAAGCATTATGAAATCTGCAATTCGTTAATAACTTACACATCTAACAAAATATTTTAATCTATGGAATGAGTAGGAAGATTTGATGGATTCATGAGTACCAGCCGATTGGCCAAGTTTAAATCATTCGCCCAGTCCAGGGGTGCGACAAGTCTTTTCTCCACCGCCGTTATTACAGGACATTCTATACCTGATTTGAGTATGAAACCGAGTCTACATACGGAACGACTTATTGATTGTAATAGTAAGTCAGTTAGTTTTGAAATAGAATGCATGCATATGTTTGACCTAAAGTTTAACTATTCTTTTAATAATAGCCAACTCAGTCGAGACAAATTCAGATTCTTCTATCAAGTTCCCCAGCATTCGTTCCCTTGAGACGTTGCACAACGCATTGTCTTTGCGTCAGTTGGATTTATTTCTAGAAAGGATTTTATCGACCAACTATAGACCCACTAACTCTATACCGTCGTCTGTTACAAATCTAGGTAATTTGTTATCAATTGTGCTGCATGAATAAATAAATAAATAAAATGAAATGTTGTATTCATCTTAAGCATCTGGAGGAAGTCTTCTCGCCATTACTTCCGGTGGTAGTGGTGCTAATGAAGGGTCAGAACAGGTTGATCCCCTTTTACGAAGTCCTAGATCCAGACCTCTGGGGTTCTCCCCAGCATCAAGTTAGTTTGCTATAAACGCTTTGATGTGAAATTACTTTATTTAAATAAATGTCCTAAACATAATTACTCGTGCCCTGAAAAAGGTATTGGATGGAGTGCTGCCAGTGGTCCTCCGTCATATGTATCCAGTGCTCCTTCATCTCCTACATTTCCAGACCCACCAACACACAAGCATCCCCAATCTTCGGATGGTAGTATTGCTATCCTGGCTGCAGAACATTTTCCGCCCCCCCTTCCAACTGAAATTTTGACGGACGAGATTGCACCTATGCAACAACAAGAAACAGCAGAACTACCAGAAGCTGCCCCTTGAAAAATCTCTTCTTATGGTTGTCGTCAGTTTAGCTATGTACATTTGTCAAAGACCAACTACAGTATAGTTTATGCATTATTGATACTGAACAATTTCAGTATTCTGCTCATTCTTTTAATAGTCATTTCTTGGTATTCATTTTAGAGAGTATATTTATAGTGTACCGATCACAGCATTATAGTTTTAATTAATTATTAACTTGGTATACCTACATACCGATATCACTATATTTTAACTCAAACGTTAAATATTTTAACTCAAACGTTAAATATTTTAACTACATTTAAGAGAGTCATCTACTTATTTTCATTTCTAAGTCGTCTAACATTCTTCAGTTTCAATAAGGAATCAGCAATACGTGCTTTACAGTTTGATGAAGTGGTACCAATCAATAAAAATTGTCAGTGTCAAAAATGGTACAAAAACACGAACCAATAAATTGAAATATGCAGATGATATTTTAAGTTTGTTTTTTACTTAATGTTATCAAAAGTCATAGACTTAGCCATATCAAGGAAAGAAAAGAATGCAGATTATTAGTGTCTCAATTTGCATATTTCACAATAAGTGTCAATAAAAAAACCGTGATTTCCAGCGGGCCTTACACGCCCGCCAGACACCAGGGAGCCATCCATTCATTCCCTACACGTGCTCCATTCACCAAATGCCTTCCCTCGCAAGGAGATACTATATTTTACAACTACTGCCTTTAACTAACTGACTGACTAAGGGATACTATGCTTTCGGTAAGAACTTATCCCATTTATTATTCAAAGTAATAATCGTTTCTTTATTCTTTTTTTATCTCAGCTAAAACACAACTATCTTTTTATCCAGATTTTAAGTTATTTGTCTCGTATTTTTCTTTGCAGTTAGAGGTGCACTGTCTGGGTGAACAACAGTGAAATACGAAGATAGAACTTCTTCGCCAGGTCCAATGTCCCGAAGGGCGACAAGGGGCACAAGCCGTATGCCTCGCCATTCACGAGAGTGGGTGGGGTCGAGCCAGACATTTGGAAGAAATCCTGCCAGGTGGGAAGGAAACAGCAGTCGTGTGCATCGAGAGTTAAAAGTGCTCGCCGAATGTGCCCCTAGTTATGAAACCAGCAGACAAGAACGTGAGAGACTTATACGAGAGCGAATTCATAAACAAAAGGAACGGCAGATAAGACTTGGCATCGTGCCTCAATCTGATCGCCGGACAAATCGTCCCAATCCACGTCGGCGCATGAGGCGAAAAGGAGTTCAATACCGACCACAACGCTCTAAGGAGTATCACGAGCGAAAAGATCAGGCGATAATATCTCAACTCAACGAATTACAGATAACTGTGAAAAACATTGAGAAAGAGGAAACTACGCCGCCACAATATCCTCGTGTTTTTAAATACAAATTCATGCCAGGATCTCCAAATGCGACTCCTCGTTTGATTCCAAAATGTAACTCACCTCCGAAAATGAACTTATCATCGCCCACCTCTCCGGACCTCAATGACACGTTGCTTAACCGGATCGCAGAGGAGGAAATGTCCCAGGTCAGACTACACTCTTGATATATCACGTTATTTAATTGGGAATGAGACCGATTGTTGACGAACTGACCAATGTTGAGAGGATTTATGGGTGTTGGTGTTAACCATGAGGTATCACAGGCTGGAGTGTCCCAGTCGAATCGATCCCGAGCTGAGCACGATTTGTAGATTGACTTTGATATCCACTTATCATTTCCGTCTATGTGTATTCCGTCAGAGCAGCGGAAAATGTATTTGTTTCCAAGTGAGGGGAAGAATAGGGGTTCGGAAGGCATGTAAAGAGTCCCACAATACAAGGCTGCATATATAGTTAAAATTAAAAAATTAGCATTCAAATGAGATTTGCTATTTATTACTATTGAAAAATTTATAAAATATTGCATGCAAAAATAAAGTGTAAAACTTGCCAACAATCGAACCAGCTTTGGCCACACCATCCGAAACGAAAACCCCTGTCCCCGCATCTGCAGAAACTTGACTCTTCTTCCTCTCAACGATAAAACCAAAATGATCTTTCATCACATTTTTGTTATGGGCTGACATCTTCGAAAAATCCATTTCTTCATTCCAATCATTTTGTGGCAAGCACTTGGCAAAGTAGTCTATGAGAATCCTGGTCAATTGGTCATCAGTGATTAGTTTCTCTTCAGATTTACGTAAATGATGGACAGGAACATTTTGTACTGGTTTATCTTTGGCCCATTTTACACTATTCTCAGCAGCATTCTCATCTTTCTGTGCTGACGACTGTACAAGAGGGGCTGCAAGTGGCGAAGACTCGTGGCGTTTCACATTTAACGCAATCCATGGAACAAATCTGTATTTATAGCTTTTCCACCACTTGGAAATCCATTTATTCATGAATGAGTACGTCGAGTCCAGTCTAACAAACAGCAAACTTTATATTTATTTATGAAGTGGTAATTAACTCGTCAATCCGCACATATGCCATGTTTAAAAAGGTGTTATGTATGCATTAGATATTTACTTACGATTATAATGTGGTAAGTGATAGTAGCACACTACACTAATGAGAAGTGGCAATAGTAACAAACTTCAACCAATTTTTCTAATCATGGAAAATTGAGTACATATTTATGTACAACAATACTAGAAATATCGAATCACTGAAAATGCACATGTATAATTTTGCCATTAGCGAAACTCGAACCGCTTCAACCTTTGGGCGAATGTCATGTGGAAAAGGAGAGCAAAAAATCATTCATTCAGAATCGCATACCTATATTACTAGACTTACCACATGGCATGGTAAGATTAGCACTGCCAAATAGGTTCTCCTCCAACCCGTCGTCGTCTCACGATATTAAATATGGCACTCCACGTCTTTGTCCTTGTCCAGTTTCTCAGTTGCGTTTTCCATGCATTAAAATGCATAAATAATAATAATATGTCGTCAATTATAAATGTTCTGATTCAGGTAAGAATCAGGTAAAAGAATTGGATTGCATACAACTCCACTCAACTCGGTCAGATTGAGTGGTGTAGTAGGTAGGCAGCAGCAGCAGCAGCAGCGGTGACTCTGCACTGGTTTCTTCTTCGGGGTCAGCAAACTGTCCTCCCAAAATGCGTTGGCTAGAGTTCAAATGAAAAAAATGAGACTAGAGGAAAAATGAGACCTTCACTTTTTAGTTTATTTTTCTCCAGATCCTCGTATTCTTATTCTGTTCCTCTTCATCAGCCTTTCCTACTTTCCAGTTCACTAAATTATAAATTTTTAATTAATTTTATTTGTTTCAATCATGATCCCATATCTCCTGAACGCAATTAAGACTGAACTTCTTATTTTGGCATATTTCTTCGTTCTCATCTGCACTCTGTTTACTTTTTACGGGTGGACATGGTCTCGCCAAAGATCTTAAAAAATTCAAGTGTCAACTATCAAAATAGTAAGTTTCGGACATAAAAACTATTAGACTATCATGGTGCTACACGTGTGCAGAGGTTTCGTGTATGACGATAGTGACCCTGCCTTTGCACTCATTCCGAGGCAGGAGAACGTATTTTTGTACGATGTTTCGATCCGAGATGTTGTGGCATGGATTTTGAAGTATAATTTTCGATGGCACGAGAACGGGCGAGAGTGGGTGGAGTGGTTCGACAGGAGCAGAATTTGGGTATGTTTATAAATTTCTATATTAATTTGATACACATGCACATCATTCATAAGGTTAAAAAGCGAGTGAAAATCAAGAGTACTAATTTTGTCGAATTCTTGCATCGGGTTAGGTGAAGTAGGTACATAGATGGATTATGTTGCGAAAATGTAGGATGCAATTGATGGTTAATGTACTTAACCAGACGGATTAAATTTCTTTGCATTGGTTTTACCAAGGGTTATGCATTTCTAGTTATCAATTCTATTCGCAGATGTCGGGCATGTCTTTTATCGCAAGTGAATGGGAGAAAGTCTTGTATGAATGTTGTGCAAGTTTTACTTAAAGGAGAATGAGAATACATATTAAGCAATGCAATATCAATGGTGGATGATTTGGCCGACTCTGGGAGTTTTCGCTCGTTGTATTGTATTACGAGTACGTATATATATAGTAGATCCGATTTTTACTCTGTATAAAACAAAACGATAACCAATAGTTGTCCTAAAAATTAAATATTCCATTTTGTGCTTGACCCAAGTGAGAAAAAATTCCACGACAAGTCAGGGAAAGTATAGAGTACAATTACCAGAGTACAACAAAGCATAAACTATTCTCTAAATTCTAAGTCAACTACGGGGCTTAAAAGGTACAAAATTGGTTTATCACATAATGAGTATACTTTAGGTATTGAACTTGTACAAAAATAACGATTTAACACGACTTACCATTGGAGAAAGTCATATTTTCTAGTTTCAATATGTATTTTAATGTCTTAATGTGATCCCATAATGGGCAATATTAATTACGCACTGTTTAATTTATAACTGGAGTAGTTATAATTTTTTATATTAACTTAAAAAATATAAATTTTCCCGTTTTGTGTCAGTTGTGATTCGTAATCTATTTCCGTTACAGCTTTAATAAAAAGGCGAAGGAGGAACATGGTTGTTTTTTTTAGTTTGAGTTCAGCAGTAGCTATGAGGGGGGTCCAACTAAAGCAACATAATTTTTCTACGTGAACTGCTCAAGCTGGAGAGAGATAAGAGGAAGGCTCAGTTTACTTTTTACTTTAGTAACACCGTAAGGTTTGTCCCGTCTTTTTAAAGGCAGAATTTCGAAATCGCACCTGTTTCTTAAGTAATCAACGTTGTTACAATAATCAAGAGTGAACAAACCAGTATTTACAATTACAGTGCCACGCAATTCCAGTTAGATTTTTCTTGCTATCCATTATCAATACCATATCCTATAATTAAATACCAATGTAATTAACATATTGTGATAGGTGTATTTATACATACATTCATAACCCTATTATAATTTATAATGAGACACATTTGTTAATCATCCCGTTTTCTCGGTCCTTTTTAGCAATCCGTGTTATTTCGGGATTCTCGAGACGGCAACAAGACGGCGAAATCAAACTCGTCGTCTGGAGGAGGAGGTGGTGGAGACAAAGCAACAATGGTCATTGAAGATGCAGAGCGTCTCAAAGGATGGCTTACTGCCATCCTGCAGCCACTGTAAGTCATAATTTGCTATTTCACTCACTAGCATGAACATGACCATAATTACTCTAAGTTAACGATAATTAATTTCTGACAGTTGCGATGCTGACCCAGCAGCACTGGCGAAATATGTCCTTGCCCTCATTAAGAAAGATAAACCGGAGAAGGAGCTCCGGCAGAGCATGTCCGATCAGTTGGACGTTTTCCTACAAAATGGTAAGATGCAATTCATCAATGCAAAGAGTCGTAGTTGTAAAAGAACGATTTTGAAAGGGTGGAGTAAGCAAAAAAAATATGCAGAATCGCGTAGTTTTCATGCATACATGCGTAACAATGAGTTAGGAAAAAAAGTCACTCCATCTACCAGTTTGCCGATAGAATTTTAGTGTGATTGCACACGGTCGAAAATGCCCCAATGAGACGAGAGTTTATGATGAGAGGTCATTTCTCTGTATCATATTTCTCTGCGTCTCTAGTGGGGGAATGACCCTTACGAGTTCGCTGCTACAGCAGCAGCAGCAGAGTCAGCGAGGAGACGAGACCACCACAGCCGTTGAGAAGCGGAGAAGGAGCTCACTCTGCTCATCGTTCCTTTTTTATTAGTTTTTTTCGTTCTCTCCCCTTCAAAAAGTTACTTTTTGAGAAATTTAAATTTTCGAATAACGTTTATTACTACGTTAATAGGAAGGGGTGGATAGTTTGTTATTATTTAGTTGCATAGGCAAGTCACAAATCTAGCATTTGCATGATTATTTTTACTACTAGTTCAGTTTGTCCAGTTTTCATAATTAAGAAATTCCAAGAGGTGGTTGGTTATCCTGAAAAGTCATTCCAGAGATAGTTACTACGGTAAAGAAATAGATTTTACATTTAATGGGTGATTAAATTATTTTTGTTGAAAAAATAGCTATTTTTGAATTCCGAACAACTTGGCTGTATTTATTCGATTTGAATATATTTTTTCTTTGTCTCGAGCTTTCAATGTTGGCCTGAGTTGAGAAATTATTAGTAAAAAGTAAAAAAAAAAACATCACTCCTTTTTGTTCGTTTTAATAGAAACACAGACGTTCATTGATCGCCTCTTTGAACTGCTCCGAACCAAGGAGTACTTGACAAAAATTCCTCCTCCCATCATACCAAAAGAAGAGCCAGCCATGCCTACCTTCGATGTCGGCTCTTCCTCCGAATCGATATCCGGGTATAGTGGGTCAACTACTGGGTCCAGCAGTAACTTTAGTCTCAGTGGGCGGAGTAAAGAGTCCGATAAAGGTTCTTCAAGCAATACTGGTGATAATAATGACTCGGAATCAACGGTCAGCACGAGCTCTGAGAAAGAAAAAGAAAAAGGCACTGAAACAGCCAACCCTGTAAGCAGCGGTGGCAGCACCAAGAAAGATGTTCGAAAAGAGGTAAGCTTTGAGAAAAATATTTATTGTGCTCTTCTGATTTATTACTCTATTGTAACTAATACTTTTCTTGTATTTTCTCATAATAGGATGATCGAGACCGAGGTCGTCGGAGGAGATCACGTTCTCCAATTCGACGTAGAGGAGCAAGGTCCAGGAGTCGTAACAGGGACAAGAAATATCATCAAAGGAAAAATTGGCGCAGGTTGGTATTCACAATTTGAATCATCTTTTTTACTTAATTACATGTCGTTATAATTGACACATATAATTATTATACAGCGCGCGTCGAAGTCGATCACGATCTCCCTTTCGGTCATCTTCAGCTGGGAGGAATCGTAGCAGGTCGCCACCTCGATATCGTGGTCGCCACGGTGGTTCTCGCTCAAGGTCCCGATCTCCAAAAAACATTGCACCACCCCGGTCTCCAGGTAATATGCGTGACAAGATGGACACGAAAGATAATATCTCTCGCTCGGTATTAAACATTGATGACCGCATCCCAGAGGTTGGGCTCAAAGACGTGGAAAAACCGGCATTACAAAGTGTTGTTGTAAAAGCCGGAGCAACTGTCGAAAAGATTGAGAGTAATGATTATACTTTCATTGGTTAGAATTTGTTTTGTTTTGCTATTTAGCAATGGTTGTTTTCTATATTACTGTTGTACATTTGTTCCTTCCATCGTTGTACTTATTCTAATAACCATGTTAACTTGTTTACCTTACTTATTTTCCTAATATCCTTTGATTGACCTGATTAATTATTTTAACGTTTGTTATATCCGCTGTCTGGTGACTTGCGTTGCATTGCGCATTCCTGCTGATGTAGTTTATTATTGCTATTGCAGTTGCATTTTAGAATTCTGGTGATGGCTACATTGCAAAAGTTTGATTGTTTTCTTATCAAATATTAATTGTGTCTTGTTTTTTCAGGAGGGAATAGGTGTAGGGACTTCGATGGTAAGCTAATGCTTCTTTAAGAAACGAATGCATTTTAATTTCTGAACATTAACATGATTTCATTATGTAACTTGTGCAGAAAAAGGATTGTGCATGCGAGGCGAACTTTGTCCTTTTGACCACGGGAATGATCCTGTCGTTCTCGAAGATGTTGTGATACCAGGGGTTAATAGCGCGTCAGGTCGATACAACCAAGCTGATAGTTTTGTTGGTGCTAACATGTTGAGACCTGGCATGGGTAAGCTATAAATATATATATATATATTAAATATTGTACTCAAGTTGTTCTAGAAGAGTTAAACTATATTTAGTATGAACTTACAACGTTATAGGAGAGTACTATCCGGATAATCCAGGGATGGACCACACAGCTTGGGGCTTGCAGTTTCGACCACGAATGGGTACGTAAATGTATAAGTAATAGGAACATATGTCACTGCAAATATTATTACACATTATGATTTATTGATTAGGCTTTGACCCAATGATGCGAGGCCGGCCCATGATGCCACGACCAATGGGACCATTTCCGCCACCCGCAGCCCATCGAGATTTGATAAGCATCCCTGTAATGGGCCAATCGCCAATGGATACAAATCCCCACCCAATGTCTGGCTTGCATCCACGTATGCACATGGGTAGAGGTCGAGGTCGAGGTGGGTTTGATCACAGCCGTCTTGGATTCAAGCCCGTTAGGAACTATGCAAATTGTTCATTGGAAGTAAAGAAGGTCCCACGCGAGCATAACAACATCATGGATTTGAACAGTCACTTTCAAAAGTTTGGAAAAATTGTCAACATTCAGATCCAGTTTGAATCTGATCCTGAGGCTGCGTTAGTTACATTTAGCGCACCAGCAGAAGCTCAAGCTGCTTACCGTAGCACTGAAGCAGTCCTAAATAACCGGTTCATTCGTGTATTTTGGCACAGCAAGGAAAAGGTACAAATTGTTGATAAATTGTCACCTATTGGTGGCAAACTTGGTGTTATTGTTATTACTGGCTATTATATATTATGTTTTAAGTTAAAACTGTTTATTTGTTATCATGGTTATTAGGAAAACGAGGACGCGACCGAAGAACCTGTTCGTGTTCCAGCAAAGGATCGTCTAGGTGGGATTGAAGGTGAAATGAACGATCTTCAGGAAAAAATCCTAGTCTCAGGAAATAATATCACGAAAACTGTTTACAATCACTCGCTTTTAGCAAAAAAGACTGATGCAGCTGCTGAGAAGATTCAGGTGTGTACAAAGTCTGTATGCAGACTATTCAATTTATAATATTATTAAAATGCTTTTGTTCGTATAAAATTATTATTGTAATACGAATATGGCTTTTACAATCTATATGATTTATCAACAGGCTGTTGAAGCCATAAAGAAAAATCAAGAAATGTTAGCTGCTCAAGAAACGTTAAAGAAGAAACAAGAAGAAAAGAAAAAAGAGGCAATTAGGATTATTGGTGATCTTCGAAAACGTAAACAGGATATGCTAGACGAACAAATCAAGTCCCAAAAGAAGTTGATCTCTAAACTGGAAAACAAGAAAATCACAATGAAGCCGGAAGAAGTTGCCGAATGTATGTCTCTTATAAAAGCTATTCAAGTGCAAATTGAAAGAATCAAGAAGGATCTCGAGGAAACAGCTCCAAAGTCTCAAGATATTCCAAAAAGCAAGGAAGAGGTATTAAATTCATTTACTTTCGTAATTTTACTTGCGAAACAAATAATATCTATTTAACTTGAGTAGTATTTCATACTGATGGTTTTGGTTATTTTATGATAGGCCGAGCGAGAAATGTTGGACGCTGAGCTGGAGTTGTACAACAAAGAGCAAGAGGGTGGAGACACCCTGGCTCTTCAACGGAAAATTTCGGATCTTAGGGCTACGGCAAGGCAGCTTGGAGTTCACTTCCGTGGCCGTGGTGGATTTCGGGGTGCAGGTGGTCGAGGGGGGTTCACTGGACGTGGACGGGGTGGAAGGTACTTACAAATAGAACAATATATTCTTGTACTAGTATTTATATGTATAATTTATACTTTTTTTATTTACTTTACTAAAGACAAACGCTTCGAGCCTTGCGTACAGTTGATCGTCGCCCAACTCGTATAAAAATTACAAAGTTCCCTGTCGCTCGGCTCCCGGAAATTTTACCACATTTTTCAGTATGTCCTTTAGATTTCATAATTCATAATTTACTCTAAACTCTTTATGGATCTAATTTTAATTTAAATGTTTAGCAATTCGGGACAATTACGGAATATGAAAGCGACACTGTCACGCCCAGCATGGTGCTGAATTTCGATTCACGCAAGAGCGCCGAATCCGCCGTGACCAATGGAAAGATTTTTGGGGAATCCGAACTTGATATCACTTGGGTCGTCGGTGGGGCTGTAGAAGGTGGAGGAGATGCGCAGATTGACACCAGCAATGGCGACGGGCCTCACCCACCCTCAGCGGAAAATGGTGCCTCCATGGAAGAGGATGAGGCAGGCCTTATTTAATTATTCTTTGCTATTATTATAACCGCAACAGCAATTTGTTTATTGTTACATGTTATGTAATCGTCGCCTCCAAAAACACAAATATTTATGCTTTAAACGCTTTGTTACATCAGTGAGTAGGGGAGCTAAGTTTATTTTTTGCAATTTTAGCTCGGCGACATTTTAGCCAATGAAATCCTGCTGACCTACGAAGAAGAGGAAGAAGAAGATGACAACAATCGAAGTTGGAGGAGGTAGAACGAGAGAGGGAGGGATCTTAGTCAAATGTGTAAAATATTCCGTTAGGGACTATATTATATTATTCTTGTAAAACTACGTATTTCTAATCACACTTTGCGGTCCCATTTATCTATTCGTACTAATTTTCTTTTTTTCTACGGGGGGTAAGCCATTTACTAATTCGATAAAGGTAGTTTATTTGTTGATGCAGAGTTAGATAGAACTACAAATTTCAAAATCTATAAGCGTTAAACGGAGCAAACATAAATTTAAATTATGCGAAAATTAGCTATCATTATCATCTATGCCAGCTTTACAACAAAGATATACATGTTATTAAATGTTATAGGGACGATGTATTTTTGCAAATTTATCATCTCGTAACTTATGCCACTTACCTACCTACCTACAACCTATTAACTTTTAATATTGTGAGGTAACACAAATGAGTGATATCCTTCGTAGCTATACGGAATGTTTTAAAATTTTCTAGGAATGTAATGATACAAAGTTGTTCTATTTTACTTCGGATGCAAATTCGAACCCAATTCATAAAAATATCTAAACTCCAGTTTTTAGCCGTAAGTAAATAAGGAATTTGTTGTTTTTAGTTATAGATTTTACAAAAATCTAATCTTTGTTAAATTAATCTGTTTTGCGGATACACATTTTAAAAGTTTTAGTAGTTGCTCTATCTTGGAAACAAACATTAGGTATCTATCATTTTAAATTACCTGTTATTATCTTGATCAATTCACTATTATTATTATTATTATTATTGTTATTATTATTGTTATTATTATCGTTGTAACTATTATTAAAATTATTCGAGTTATGTTAATGTTCCATTATAATGTCTGTTCTTATTAAAAAAGTATACAATTCTCAATTCCTTACATATTATCATGTTAAGCGCTTGATTTAACGTTATGCTTGTATAGAAAGAAATGTAAATTTATATAGTATTGTGTTGATTGATTTTAAAGTGTCAAAATATTGTTGAAAATGTTTATTTTTTAAAACAATTAAAAAATTACTGGCAATGAAAAAAGTCCATCTTACAAAAGAATAAGATTTCATGGAAAGTTATTATTATGAAAAGATCAAAAAATTATAAAAAAGAAAAATCTAAACTTTCCCAAGCAAAAAATCAAGTAAACCACTGAACCAGTCAATAAAATATCGACTTTATTAACTTTCTTATCCGAAAAAATATATATCTTGTCTACAATTTCACATTTATTTCTGAGCACAATTTTCATACTTTTAGTGCATCATAATGCCCAAACAAAAGGTGTCATCACCTCAAAAAATTGATTTGATACCAACGACGATAATTTCCTTCTGCCTTATTAGATTTCCTCTCGTGCTGTCGCAGACAAAGGATGCCCCTCTCCCCATGAAGCAAATTAATAGCAGATACTTCCTGCAGACAGGACTGCAGTAGTCGCGTATTGAGTGACATAAAGGAAACTGGTTTACATAGGTTACTGCAGAGGTGAATAAGTAGTGATCCAAACTGGTTGATTAAATTGCATATAAATAATAAATAAATAAATACTTATGCATCGTATCATTATTGAATTAAGCAACCCCTTGTCAACTCTTTCTAATTGATGCATATCATTTCAACTTGTCTGAGTGGATAGTTTCATTGTTGATTATGGTGAATATTGTATTTCTTATGTAACAAACATCATCTCAATGTGGTTGCCATATTTTGCAGTATTGTCATGTGAAAAATTATGGAAATGGATATGTTCTCAAAACTTTAGGGATTTTCAACTTGAATTAATTAATCACATGTTTAGAGTAAAATCATTTAAATGTGCAAATTTCACAAAATTGAACTATTTATTAGAAAGAAACCAAGCTGAATTGAAGATAGTAAAGTCATGCCATATTTAAAAAAATAAATATAATATTACTCGTTATTGCGCAACAATGTGCGTGTAAAGGTTATTTTGCACTCAATACATTAACTGGAAACAAGTGCTTTGATTACAATTTCGACTTCAATGGTAATACGCAGATGGCAAACTTTAAAAAAATTCACTGGTTGGTTAATTTTAGTAACACAGTTTGGCGTTGACGAAATACGTTTTATTGTATGGCGAATAGTGTATCCACGTCGTACGTATGTGTCATAAATGTCTATTAACGGGGTTTAATTATTGGACTATTAACACTGTTGACCAATAAATGTCCCGGTGCGCATAATGTGTGGTGTACGTACATACATATGTGTGTGAGTTTTATGTGTCATTGAAATTTGTGAGGACATGACAGTTAATAAACACATAGGAAACTAAAAGGTACTCATTAGCTGGAATTGTTTTGACCTAATCTTCCTGGTCTCACGAGTCCAGCACACCTTCGCAGTTGCACTTTCATTTTCATTGTTGTGGCATTGACACGATTTAAAACTAGTGTAATACTTGTCCACATAATATTTGTTGTCGCAAGGCACTAAGTATGGTGACAATATTGTGAATGGAACAGAGTGGCATTTACTGGAGGAAATGCTGCTTGTTAGTGAAATGTAAGTTACGGTTTTGGCATTCACTATGCATTGTTGTATTTAGTTTCGTGTTTCACTGGCATCGTGACATTGGAAACAAGTTATACACGCTTGACTGTTGTTGTTCAGTAGGATGTCACATCCCAAACCTTCAAACAATTGAGTTCCATTGTGGGTTTCACCATTTGTTTAAAATATAATTGTTTAATGAGATTTTACGCAGATACCTTTCTTCCTCCTTTTTCACGTGTCTCAAGTATTCCGTGGATGCCACGTAAATAAATTTGAGAAAAATCATGCACATATACTACACACGCCGTTAGTGTCTTTGCAGAACCAGTGTTTCTCATGACCCTCATTATGTGCAGGAAGGAGTGACATTTTTAAGAGTACGTATATCGAGTGGTCAATGAGACAAATTAGTCCATCCTTTTTTTCTATTTACTCAATCTCACTTCCACTCTTGAATGAGAAGCAAATTAACCTTTTTGAGCTGTAATCTTCTCGTGAAAAGATACCAAAGGGGACACAAATTAATTGAATTCTATCAAAAAGAAGAAGTAGGTCACCATGACTTTGCACCACGACTCCCACATTTCAGCAAGAATAGAAAACTTGAATCTCTAATTCAGGTAAAAATAGAAGAAAAAAAGAATTACGCGTGCACGCTCGTCCCGTTTTCACACTTAATGAATGAGCTAATTTTCGAGCACACTTTAAAAATGAGGAAAAGTGGGATGAGGAAAAATCCTCAATTGATGTCAGTTTCATTTTTCAATTACTTAATTCCAAAATCAATAAGTGTGAATTTAACTTAAGAAATCGAGTTGAACCTTTATTTTTTAAAGTCATGGTCGTAAATGCAGTGTTATTCATCCGGATGACCTGTTATGTCTTCCTTTAATTTTTGCAGGTTAACATCTCACTTCAAAATATTTACGCTTGCGGTTCTCACAACATGATGTGAAAATACTTCTACGCTGAAAGAAAGTAAAAGTTTTTTCACAAACTTTACTTACTTTATTACAATAGAAATCTATGTATGGAATATGAAAAAATTAGTTAATTTAATGACGGCATTATGCCTAATTTCTTACTCGTGGTGTGCATTCTATTGTCAAATGGAGGAGAGAATTTTGAACCCATTTAGTTTTGAAATATAATGAGCACTGGGCTTTTCCACTTTTAAACTTTATCATCTTCACTAGAGATGGGTTTTTGAATTAAGCATAGCAGTAGCAGTGCATACATATATTGTAAAATGTATGTATGTAAAATATGAACATATTTATCGCAACATCATCATTATTCATCGTTGAATATATTCTCACGAAACCATTCAGAAAATCCAAATTGCAATTGCAATTATAGAAAATGCAACATGCATCAATAGATTTGATTGAATGCAAGCCACGATTGCAAAGGAAAGCGAGAGCGTGCAAAATTATTATCATATTGTAAAATCCATCTCTAGACGAGATTTAGGACTTTGTATACAGAATGCACTTTACCAACCACCCTTCAAAGTTCAAACCACAAAATTACGATTGCATTGAATTCACATATTTATTATCAACGACACATATCTGCACAAGTATACAGGCGGGTATGTTATTATAATGCATAATAATCCTTGCAAGTAAATATGCATACAAGTTCCTTGATGAAAATCTCGATGAGCATAAAAGTGCAGTGCAAGTTAAACCGAATTCCATTGAATCTGTCTGTTGAGCTTTACGAGTTGTAAGAATGCATGGATGACTTTATTTGAAATTGAGAAACCATGTGGTACTCACTGACTTTTATAAAGGGAATAAATAAATAATCCAACTCTCTCGTCCCATCAGACAATCCCATTCGTTTGTTGCATTTCGTTTCGTACCATGCGATACATACGTGCGATGGGATGATCAGCAGTATCTAGAAGTCAGACTGTAAATAAAGTGGCGACAAATCAAATAAATACGTGTCCCGTTTGCCCTAAAAATAAATTACTCCATTCATAAATGTTACAGATGTTGTGTGACCAGATTTCTCCATCACTGCGCCTTCCTCTCTTAACTTTAGCGTTTCCGCTTGACGTGTAAGATCTTCAGGTTGGTTACCTTATGGGAACGATTATGTGTGATAGCCGATGAATGGCTAGATTCTGATTACATGCACAGACAGCCCCACCCCACCCGATTGTCATCATAATTCAACGTCTTCTAGGGAATTTTATGATGGCATATTGATAGCATAGATTCCATTAGATGATTTAGTAAACACAAAACAACCACGTAAAAAAGAACTTGGCCACGTAACACATAAACAATTGACCCATGTGTATTTATTCATATGTAAATAAATAAATATGTAGAGATCAGACATTCGTGCCAACTAAATACTACAGCCGAGTGTCAGCTTTATTAAAATTTAGTATGACTCATAGGTATATTTTCTACGTGTTTCACCTTCATTATCAGAACGTCGTCCTAAAGTAAATATAAATATTGAAGTCTAAGTTAATACAGTTCACGTAGTAGATGAGGATGAGGGAAAAAGTGTAGAAATTTTACAAAATTTTGTTTAAACCTTTAAAATTGTTAATTTTGAGCCATCTTTATAAAAAAACGAACATGCAGGATAATTTGTCAGAAATGTTCACAACTTTTTTTTGGAGAGCAATTAGCACTTTCGACAATGTGGGATTAATTACTAACATTATATTCTGCATGCGATACTACGGACTACCTGAAACTGAAACCGCAAGCGAAACTAGCATTTTGTTGTTTTCATACTTTCGTGCTGCATATTAGATTCACATGAATCTTTTAGGAGAACGATTGTTCATTTTTGCCAAGGTATAAACTTTATTGTTGTGTTGTGACATTACTATTTACTATCCACTTTATTATGGGGCATATATTTTTACTCTTATGAAATCTTAGCACGACATCTTTATTCGTAAAACTCGTCCTGAATTTCAATAAAGAAATTTTGAGTACATTATTAAACTGTGTTCTCAACTTGTTAAGCAGTGGTAAACCAAGTGTTGTTAGTCTCAAGTAGCGAGCAAAGTGTACAATGCAGATTATTCCCATATAAACTTTAATCATTACTTCTCATGAAATTGTTCTGCGGTGCCACAGGCTCGAATGCAATGAGCGGAAGGACTTCCTATCGATAAAGCTATCACATAATATAAATATGTACGTACGCGTAATTTCATACCAATTTCGAATGGTGTATGTGGATGGGAAGCGAGACATTTTGATACTGCGATCAATTACCTTTTGCAAATTTCTCAACTCAATAATGACGAGCACATGTATATTGATGTCATAATGTGATTTTAGGACTCGAAACTAAGAACAAAATTAGAAATCTGAGCTCATATGTAAAAGATTTTCACATGCTGATGTCCTGAGTTAATTGGAAATAACGGACAGTATGCACATAAACATTAGAATTTTTTTAGGTACATGAAAATATGTCCAATCTAGAAATAACTAGACGCAATCCTGCAAACTTGACTATAGATAATGATTAGAACGCCATAGAACCGCAAAATTGTGGCCGATTAACGCAAACCGTTAATAATTAGATTTAGTTGGAAAATTGATACAGGAAGGAAGGAAGGAAATTAGAGCAGCATCAGCTACGCAAGTAAATAGAAGATTGATTAAGTTAAGGAAGATGTTGGTAGGCATGTGACGATCAAGAAGAGTGTGTTGCTCTATTTTCCAATATTAACGATCAAGTGACAAAATGAGACAACAACAATAAACTACTTCAAACTTTGCATACGAATCGAGGACTGAATGACTTGGTCAAATGTTTTTTGGCTGATGTGTAAAGCTGTGAAGCATATTCAGGTACAGTGTAAAAAGAAGATTGACATTTTAAGTAGATCAATTATCAACGATTTGCTAGTCAATCAACTTCAGGTGTTAATTTTAAAGAAATTACGATTGAGTTATTTGTTTTGGTTTACAAGTATTTTAGCGAATTTAGAAAAAATGACAGAATAACTTTAATTAAAGTTAACAGTAATTAAAGTTAATGTATAATTTATTACTTAACTCTTCTAGGGCATGGCCCATAGAGTTACACTTTAATTTTAATTGAAAATATTTTTAAAATAATTAATGTTAACTGGAATGAGTAATCTTTGTCATTCTTGAATCTTAATTGCCCATTTACTCTGAACCATATCAAAACATATATCATACTTTTAGCCAAAAAGTCTCATTATGTTTTCGTGCAACACGTACGCATCCTTTATTGCTAAGTACATGTATTCATTGTATAACAGTTTTGTCTGTCAAAATTCTCAGATTGTACACTTTTATGCATATTTGAATAGAGGGAGGATCCATTTCTTGTAAGGATTGCAATATAATGTTTAATTTTATAATGAATCACATCTGAAAATTACACTTCGATTAATCTTGAAAAGAGGATACTATGTACTAACTAACTTATCAATTTCCCATGGTGCTCGTAAACGGCACGGTGCGTGTAGCAGGTTATTATAGAAACTTCAATATTTTGATAGTAATTTTAAAGCAATGTCGCAATGTCAATTTCATCAAATCTGGATTAAAAAATCAACTCCTCGAACAAAAATTCAAGAATTGCATGCACAGTCTTTAAAAAAATTTTGAGTATTTCAAGATATTTACTTGCGTAGTATGATGAATTAAATAAGTTTGGATTTATCAATATGAATAATGCAATGACATAACTAAATTCAGCTGGTTGGGCAGATTGTTAACCTAAAAACAATTACCCAAATTAGCAATTAAGTTTGCATAATAATACAAAATGTTTGCATGAAAATAATGAAATAAAATCACCACTACTTATTATCTATACTCTTAGCGAGACGAATTTGTCGATGTCTTCATTTTTTCCCACAACGCGTGTGATGATGGGCGATATTAAACAAACAAACGCCGGTATTTGGCAATAAAGTGTGTTTCCATCATATTATGTCACTTTTTCAGCGTTAAAGGTATAATTTGATGATACTTTGTTAACTAAATGAGATTAATGAAAGACTATCTTTTTATGTACATGGCTTTAACTTTGCGCACCTTTTTACTTGGTACATATATTAAAAGGAAGCAATAAGCCGACATGAGTGTTGTTGTTGTTACTCGTTCTTGTTTTACAAATAATTATTTTTTTGTACAAAATTTTGCAAACGTTTGTGTTGTATTTGAAGATAATGAATTTAGTTTAAGATAATAATAGGATAAATATGAATGATGAACAAAGAACATACAAACTGAAGAACATGTTACATATGGCGTGCAATTGCACAAATGTGTATGTACAAGATGCCATTTCATGCAAAAGTAAGACACTTTGTTGTAATTAGTAACGTGCATTTTTTGCTGGCTTAACAAAACAACGTGATGAAAAAGATGAAATTGAGAATTATCGAGCAGAAAAACGATCGAGCATACCGATGCGTGAAATTGCTGCATAAACACAAATAATTTGAATGCAACAAGGTGCAATGCAACGCAACGTTCCGAGGCCAAGAAATTTAGCTTTTAATTTGAGGCCGAACTAATGGAATTATAAATACTGCAGTTTTTCAGAAATTATGCTTAAACGATGGGAGAAAAGCAGGGCTAATTTTTGAGGCGGATTAATTTCTCAGGATTCAGTAAATGAGACGATGAACTTGTCACTTGTAATTAGCCATTTGTAAACTATGCATAATGAGACCATAGTTTACAACCATACTCTAAAATGGCACACAAGGGTTCATTAGTTTGCCAGAAAGATTGCAAGTCATGAAATCTTTCCCTTTCCTTTTACCTGTTCCTGGTGGAAGTTACTACGCATTTCATTGTCATATTCTAAAAAATTGCGACAAATTGCTCATCGTCACACACACCATCGAACTCACACAATCAGAGAGGCTACGTACCTTGTATATCCTCCCATTTGTTGTATCTACATAGTTGATAGTCGCAATAGGAGTCATTATTTTCCTTGTTGTTATCCCATTTATGATTTATAAGTGTAATAATACGAAGCAAAATGTGACCAACCACCGCCGCGGCCGCTATTAATAATAATATTCTGCTTTGATAGCACATAGTCCTTAATGGGCCTCATGATGATGTGAGCACAGGTAAACAATGGTTAACTACTGCAGAATTAATGCAACAAGTTGGTTATTCGTGTGATGTGAATAAGTCAGCAGCATTTCAAAGGAATATCAGCAGACAGAGAGTCAGGACTGGTGGCAAGTTGGTAGTTACCATATTAAAGTGGTAATGAGAGATTTGAGTCAGCAAGTCTCTGCAGGTAGTATATAAAGGAAGGGCAGTTCTATATCTTGGTGTCAAACGTGCAGTCGAGTCTTACCCAATTGGTTGGTTTTCTCACTTTCCTCTCAAATCTCATATTCTCCAAAAGACAAGAAATTATAAGAAGTAAGTGGAGTTTTGGCTCTGTTCAATTTCCGGAAATTATAAGGCCTCTTCTCTTTTTTGGAAATTGTGACACATTTTTTCTAAAGTGTGAGTTTGTCTCATTTTTAGAATGAAAGCCGTGGTTTGCTTGGTTGCTGCCTTCGTGGCAGTCACACTCTCTCAGGACGCCAAGGACAAGGAAAGCGACCGGCCAACGGTGTTTCAACGTTTAATTCCTGCCGATGTTCTCAGAGGTTTGTTGATTGTGGTTTAAATGCAATTCGAAATTATCCCTTCGAAATTTCATAAGGTATCAATTCTAGATTTTCCTGGCACTTGTTTTGCCTCAACACGATGCGCCACCTTCGAGCCTGGTGCGTCCTGGGACTTGAAACCCTTTTGTGGACGATCAACTTGCGTAGCTCAACAGGTTTGTGAATGATTTTTAGTTGGTTGGATTTATTTTCTTCTCCAATCTACAAAATTTCATCCTTGAGTCCTCTTACTTAAGAGAGTGGTACGGATCCAATATGAAACTAAATTTATTTTCAGGGTCGTCTCTGGGAGTTGGTTGAAGACTGTGGCCCACTTCCAAAACCAAACCCCAAGTGCAAATTGTCCGAGAAGACCAACAAGACTGCCGACTTCCCAATGTGCTGCCCCGTTTTCGACTGTGAAGCCGGAATCACTCTCGAATATCCAGATATCCCAAGGGCACCTGAAGCCGGACCCGGAAGTTCTGCTGCCTCTGGTAAGTTAAGAAATTCTGGGTCAAAGTTCAACTGAGGTGGAAATAGTAGGTTGGGAGGGACACTAATTAGTTTATTTTCTTGTCGCACAGCCCCCGCTGGAAACCAAGCTGTCGCCGCTGCCAAACCCTAAGCAATCATTGATCTAGCTGAATAACCTCTTTCCAATAATATTTATACTACTCAACCAAACCAAATACAATGAATGCTACCAAAAAGTGGACCTTTTTTACTCTCAACAAATATGATGCTAGAGACGACGAATACTTTTCTCACACACAACTGGAGTCTGTGATCTCTTCTCAATCGAATGCACTTTTGCTAACTTTCTTACTCATCCTGTTCATCAGTATTGCTGGTCAATTGGACTCACTATTTCGATTGGAGACACAATTTTCAACTATTATTTCATTATTTTCTCTATCTCTCATATCTTTTCCTCATAGTCAACTTATAAGTCTAACAAGTCTCCCCAGAAGTTGAGATGGTACGTATTTCCACCTCTTTTCTCTCTCTTGTTGCTATTGTGCAACTTAACCTTGTCATTTTTTAAGTCACTGTGAGAGTTATAAGATGTTAAGTGGTTATGAAACGTTCCTTTAATTATGCACGTGTGATGATATAAGTAATAAAAATAGTATGCATTCACGAGTGCACAAAAACAATCAGTTTTTCTCGTTTTATGCACGTAATATGCATGACCGCATCAAAAGTGTCAATCATTCATCATAAATTAACCGTTCTAAAAATTACAGTAGACATCAACTTTTATAGATACATAAATTTGCTGTATATTAATTCTTATGTAAATGACCCTGGAGCAGGCGAGAAGTCCAACAAAATTTATGAACGAGGCCTTTATAATTCGTTTTAGAGGGTACTTCGAAACTCTAAATCTACAACATCGTAAAAAAATCATTTTGATTAATGCTGGAAAAGTTACTCATAATAATAAGGCGGCGAGGTTGGGTGAATATGGCGAAGAGTTATTAATAAGATTTCGAGTTGTTAACAGTATTTCGAATTATTAATAAAACTTCGGTATTCAGTTTCATATTGCTAACTGCTTATCTTGTTAATCCCACGAAATACAAGACATTATAGAAAATCAACCCATTGCTGCAAGTGTTTGCTAGATTGGGAATAAATTATTGAAATATGAGGATCTGCGAAATGTGTCATTTAATAAGTACCACACGCTTGTAGTGAAATTTCAAAATTAATTAATTAAAATTAATTAATTGGGTCAATCAAAGCGACTTTCGAGTTACACGTAATAACTTTGAATGTAATTATTTATTTCACTATGCAGTGTAATCTGAAAGCCGTGTTTTTTAATTTACAAAACAACATATCCTTCAATCATGTCACCCTTTATGTAAATAAATTATATAATACGCTGGGCTAGAATTATACTTAATTATCGCCATCGTTCATTTCATTTACACATTTAGTTGATTAATACTAATGCAATCAAATACACATTGATACTCAAAGTTCCACAGGTATTTGGACTAGTTTTCACAATTGCAGTTCCATTTACCAATTATCTCTAAACAAATGCCATGTAACTTGATTTAAACAATTATCGATATATTCGTCAATACTGTTCAGCCTAATCACAATAAGACTGTCTAAAATCAGCAAAATGTAGTACTTGTAAGCTATGTAGTACATTCTAATTATACATTTTACGATCAGATCATTCCAACAAAATCGCCCATGAAAATTAAGTTTTATCCTCGATAACAGTCGATGATGCACAACACCACTGTTTCAAACATGATAATTACAATTACTATTAGCTGGTCTGGACGATATTGGAGTGTGTGCATAGAAGTATACTTATGTACATACATAGTAGAAAATTACCATATATAAGATGATGCATGATATTATTCATGCATATGTGCAAATACACATGTAGGCAAAAGTCTACTAATTAAATACAGTGTTTATACCTGTCTCAAAAACCATAACCCCTCAAAATTGACAAGCATATTTGCAAATAGAGTCAAAATATATAACGACTGTAATTACATTAATTTTGTTATAAGCCACTGAATTTTAATCATTAAGACATTCGGGTGTGTGGCCGTTTGAATTCCAAAAATGTGAAACTGCGTCTAATTATTTCTGTCACTTATGAAAATATAAAATCAGCATTATTACTTATCTTTAGTCCGAATAGTGGAATTTTAATTAGTATTATTTAGAGATAAGGTTTCCCAGGTCTTCATTTTTCTACGCAGATTACAGTTATTGTCAGTGAATGCATCTACATTTATGTATAAACGAAGCTGGGATACAGACCTTCTTGGTTGGTAGGATCATACTTATTCCGGTAATAAATAAGGCGACAAAATGGATTTTTATCTTAATAAAGCTCGAATTTCGTCTTTTTCCGCAGCGTCAAGATAGCTTGTTCCGTCAGGAGTTTTCCCATCTCTTGATGCACCCTATCAACAATCAAGTCGTGTCATTCTAATTCCTGGGTTAAATTATACAATTAATTACTTTTGTCAGCAAGAGCTTCACGCAATCAGTGTGTCCTTCCCAAATAGCGGCGAGCAGGGCGCTGATTCCATGCTTATCGCAAGACTATAAAAATGTTGGAAAATTTCCTTAAAAACTGATCCCATTTTGCCCTTGGTGAAAATCGACTTTCACTTACGTTCACATTAGCTCCCTTCGAAATCAGATATTCAATGACTTCCTGCTGTCCGTAGTCTGCAGCGTACAAAAGCGGTGGACGACCATCCACATCCTCATTGACATTAATGCCCTAATAATGACACGTTAAGTTAACTGATATGCGTCACGACCCCACCGGAAGCTCCCGTAAATTGTATTCAGCTTAAAATAGCGTGACTATTTATTCACCTTTTTCTCCACAATTTCTCGGACTTGGTCCAAGTCTCCGTTTTTAATGGGCCACACCAAATCACTCATGATTACGATTTGTGTATATAAGAATTCGTTCTTATGTGTGACGTTTCTGTTTTTGCTTTCTCCACCTCAATTTTTCCCAGAAAAATGTGCACTTGCCAAATATTTTATCAATAGTAGGCCGATAAAGCTTCTTCACAAGAATATACAGACCAGAAATTTAATCCGCTCCAGTTTTATATGACGACAGTACAAAAGGGGAAATCTGTTGTTCAGAATAATACTTTTAGACACAGGATACAGCTCAAATTTTCTGATGGCAGTTAAAGTCCTGTCATGAATTTAGATGAGGGTGGAAGAGAAGACCGGTACAGAAAAGCAGTCTTCTTATGGTTACTTAACAGATGAGATTTTATGAGGCAGCTATAGAAGGAGACCAAGTAAAGTGACAGTTGATTTGTTAAAAAAAAGTTTTTTAACGAGGAGAGAAGAAGAAGAGGCAGTAAGTATGGCAGTGTGTAACAGAATTGATGAGGGAGGATGCATGGGCTAAGCAATCGTCGTGTTATTAGCGAGTTGAATTTGAGACATTTGAGAGAGAAGTGGATGTCATGCTCTACGCCTTGTTGTGCTTTTACTCTACAGATTTCATTAAAATGCATTTTTATGTACAAGCTGTTGATTAATTCATGACGTGGTGGAGAGAGATTGTTAAAAAAGGGTGATATAGTTATGATGATAAAAATAAATATGCCATGAGTTGAGGACGCGGAATAAAGGAATTTTTACACAGAAAGTGGAGTTTCGTCTCCTTTTAAAGATTCTTCCAACATTTCATGTCAAGTTATCCGCATTGTCTCTCTTGACATATGTGGGTATTTTTATTTGAATGTCTTTTTCTCTCTACACTAAAAAACTACATTCGTTCCGCACATCGAACTGACATGTGTACACTTATTTTGTATAAATTGACTTCTTTTGGCTGCCCTGAAGAAAGTGACGGGTTTATTGATGATAATGGATAAGGAACAGGTTGTCGTAAGATGATGCGGGTTTTGCTGTAGTTTCCATTTCAAATGGTAGAATTTTAAAATGTGTTCTATATGGGTTCAACAAGGGCTATAATATGTAGATATATATTTATATGTAGATAAGTTTATCTGTTAAATGACTGGGTTGACGATGATAAAAGCGCTATAAGAATTCGAGTCCTAAACCAAGTTGTACCCCTCTGGCTAACCTGTCTCCCTTGGAGTATCTAAATGGCCAACAATAGTTAAGCTCTATTCTTGCCACTTGACCAAGTCTCATTGCTAGTCCAATTCCGTAAGAGGCCCGGAAATTACTCAACAATGCTTGAAAACTTTGAGCAAAGTCTTCCGCTGAAACAAAAAAAAGATAAAATTTTGTACGTAGTCATTGTAATAGAGTGGACATATTTAATTTAACTTTAATGAATTAATGTAATTACTGTTGAAAGATGAATCACTAATATTTCCAGCATTGATGAAACCATGAACTCTGAAAAAGTCACCAAATCCACCCCTTCCTAGGTTGAATGGTAAAGGAGAATATAAATGCAATGCGGAAGCCCAATACGCCTACAAAATAGAAATTAGTTGATATAATAACTTCATTTATCAAAAATGCTACTACATATAATCAAAATGCTGACCTTTCCACCAAGCGCATCATTGCCACTTCTGGATCCAAGACTTTTCATTTCAAAGCCTCGAATAGTTTGAGGACCTCCAAGGAAAAATAAATCACTAACGTTCTGGGTTTGCACTCGGGCATCGAGAGGTCTAAGAACACCTAAAGATTCACAAGTACAAGATAATGTTTTTCCATCTTTATGAGCATAATTTAATAGATTAATAATTTAAAATAATCTAACCAAATCTGGCACCTCCTTGCAGCACCTAAACCGAGATGAAAATTAGACCAGGGTATTTCCAAAAATTGTGACTAATTTATTAATGTTACCAGTTCAAAAGGCAGTGGAATATTGACTTGTAGCTCAGAGTCGTGTTTCACAAACGCAACGTCTCCGCCCAACCCCGCATATTCTTGGACTAATTTAAGTAGCACGCCCGTCGATGGGAATATTGGATGATCTCTGTGATCTACGGTCATCACGTGTCTTATCGCTGATTTAAAACTATGACCACTTTGTTCCCTAACTGCGAATGAAGTCGTTCGTCCCGACGCCTCCAATTGCCTCCAAGTTCCCTCATACTGCATATTATGTCTCACTCGTTGTGCTGACTCGAATGACAGGTCCAGCAGAGCCCCCGTGTTGAAAGTGGTAAAACCGGACCAGTACGCTGGAATTTTGTGGTGATACGCTGTCGCTGTGAAGCTAGAGAGAGTTAAAGGAAGTTGAATTATGACCTAACCATGTTAAGCATTTAGGTGTGAGGATATTATACAAATTGTTTGCATTACTCAGAATTCCATAGACCACCCAAAGGTTTCATGTAGCTGAGCATTGTACTCTTATTGGAATTTGACCCGATGGTATGTTCAATGTTAATTCTTTCTCCACGTCCTGCCAAATTAGGGAGACGACAGCCGAATATCACGGAGCCTTCGTTCGCCCCAATCATTGTGTTGACTCCACCCACAAATCGCCCAATTTCTTGGACTGTGTAAATGATCTGAGTGAAAGTACACAATATTAATTAGTAGCAGGCGTATGGAATTTCTCTTCAAAATTGTCTCACCTCATATCCATCCTGACTCGCATTTTCACCCTTACTCGTGTCAATTACAATACCTACGTTTCGAAAACAACCCAACTTCTCTAACCTTCTTTGAACTTCGCTCGCTTTGAATACCATCTGCAAATTCACAATCCGAAATTTATAGTTGTTCGCAAATTTCACATGAAAACTTTAGCCCAGAACGTATTTATTCATACCTCGTTGAAGGTACATGCTTTAAAGAGTTCGCTGATTGCTTGGGTAACGTAGTCATCTTTCGTTCGTCCGAGTCCCTGAATGTGGACATTGTCAATTCGTACGGGGACTGTTTCTAGGTCGATCGGAACCCCTCCGGCCGTTACAGCCACACCCGAAGCATACTTCGTGGGCTGGGAATATAAATTGTGTCATTTTAGTCGAGCTCAAGTTGGCTTAATTCACTTGGTGAAAATGATGAATTCTTTTGAACCCGGGTTCTTACCTTTGTTTGTCCAGCACCCATTAACACAATTGTTTAAACTGGACTTTCACTGCAAATAAATGAATTATACTTTCCGATTAGTAATATTCTGGCTCAAAACCTTCTATCTTTAAATAATTATCTAATATTTTATATATTTAATGTTCCACAACAAAATTTAAATCTCATGATGAAACTCTTATAAAACTTGCTACACTTTTTCAGCGTTCTGAAAATCTTTTCAATCCAAATTCTCCCAATATACATATGTATTTTATTTGCATTATTTCTTATGCAATTTAGAAATCTATGAAATTGTCACCTTATTGTATACAGTGAAATTAATCTGGACCCAGCTCTCGAGTCCGCTTCATTGCATTCTTGCTTCTTGTATTATCCTTGTCATTAGCGGTTTAATTTACACATTTGCCTCTGATTTGATTAATCTCTTCTCCATCCTACCACCAAATAAGAAAAAGTCCCATCCTTTTACAAAGACTTTAAATCGGGCCGGTTTCCATCTACTACAAAATATAAATGTTCCCATAGGACATGATCCTGTACATCTGCATATATCTTTTCATTCATGTGATTTTCCCTGCCAGGCTAACTCTCTTCTTAACAGCTAGATCCCTCTCTGACAGAATGAAGACCAATGGCTTTAAGCCTTTGTGTTGCAGATTCATTCGCATCGCATCCTTTTGGTAGGACAAATCCTCCACCGTTGAAACCTTTGTGATCGTTCACCCCGATGGGCAGGATGTGGGATGAAGTCGTAAAAGCGAGTGGTTGAACTTCACCATTCCACATATGAACCTTTTAACGTCGACTTTTAACGTTGGGATTTTTAGCCAAGTTTCGTAGGGTCCTCTCTCAAAGTTGAAAAGAGTTAGCCGAGCCAAGGCAGGATACAACGAGGAGCACCAATTATGATGAGAATTACCACATACTCGTTGGTGCATACTACTTTGCCTGGTTGGTGGCTCTTAATACTATCCTCACCTTGGCATTAGTTTACTATTTGGCTCAGTTTTAATAGTGAAGAAGAAAGAAAGATCAAAAGTGAGTAAAAAGATCGAGATACAAGTCTCGGGTTAGAAAGACTTGGAAAAATTGTTCCATTTCCAAACTTTTTGGAAATTGATGAGGAGCTTCTGAGCAGAATTTTTTATTCAGATCGAAGTATCCTCACCAGTGTCCCAATCTCAATAAATTACTGTCGTGGCTTATTTATATAAATAATGAGTATATAACTACTACCTATGCAGTAGTTTAAGAAAACCATTTTTAAAGGTGGGCTCAAGCTTAATGATATTCTTATTTTTCTCGATTGTATGTACTAATTAAAAACTTTTTTTGTTTAATAGATACGTTAAGAGAACTGTTCTTCCAGTAAATACCTTTTTTAGTATAAAATGAAGATGTTTTTGTGAAACAAGAAAACCACCTAAAACGAAGTGGTGTTCCAGCACACAAAAATATACGACGAAGCCAGCTTCGACTATATACGATAAGATAATATCCATTTTCTTCGTGATGGAGGAGGTGATGATAATATCACGATGCCGCTCATACTTTCTCCACTGTTGGCAAGGGTGATTAACCCGAGTCCAGTTTCGGAGCTCTGATGACTAAAAATAAGAGAGCAGCCCCAGAAATCCATTTCATCTCTCCCAAAAATTACCAAAATTACGTCGGAGGAAGAAGAAGAAGCTTTTTAACTTTTTCTAAATCTTACTTTACTTTTAAAGAGTGTCGTTGTGTGGTGTGTAGTTGAAAGAAAGTAGGAGAGCAGAAAAAGTGTGGTGTGGAGCCGTGTGAATCAATCAAATTCTTCTATTCCTCTTCTGTTCTCGTCAATGTTATAACACATAAATTTGTGTGGTTTAAGACGAAAAAGACATACATAATTTCCGAAAAGTTGCTCAAGAAAGGCGCACACCCCACACACGGCAACAGCACGATTTTACGGTAAGCACAATTATGCTTTCTCAGAATAACATTTAATCATTCTTATGCAGGGAAATGCACTGTAGTGCAATAAATGCAAAAACTGCAGTAATATTTGGTCTAATGACTGATTTTTGAGACGAGGTTTGTAACCTTTTAAGCCATTAACTGTGACGTTATTTACGACTGGACGAAATTTGAGATCTTTTAAACAAATCATATTTCATAAATGTTAACAAACTGTGTGGTACACTTTAATATTTGTCTGCTCGGTGCAGTTAAATCTAGCTCGTATTCATATCCGTCCGTATTTGAGACATTACTATAATCCGACTCCTTTTTGAGGAATCAAATTTTATTTACTAGAGTTGCACTGGATTGAATTAAGTTATAACTTTGCACTAAAGGACCTAAAGCTTAGTTACCTATGAATGGATGATTATATGGTGTCACCTTACCTTAATCCGGGGTTTAAACTTCCAGTTCCTTAATTATCCTCGTACCAGTCAAAATCTTCATTTCCACCCTCCATTCTTTTATTACAGTTTTTTTCAACTTATTACAAACTAAGCTAAACAATACATTCGGCTGCTTCAATTTGAATGAGAGGGAGAGAAAATGCTGTAACAAAGATCAATTCGGCTTATTATTACCCATTGTTTGGTAAACATGGCATCAATTTAAAATGAAACAAATAGGTACTTATGCACATATAGCGGACGTGCTGTTCTAAGCCAATAACTAATTCGCTAATTGTTGTGCCATTTTAATAAAAAATATTATTATGGGCATTTTATTATCGGGATTTCTTAGTATTTTATGTTGTACTTAAGCAAAGGTCAAAGTCATTTAATGGCTGCACAGAAGAAAAGAGCAAGTTAAAAAAAAACTTTTTGCCTGCTCCTCATGGAGGACGACGTGGAGTAGACCATGCTTGCTTGCTTTCTCGCATGCATGCTTCGATCATGATTCGACATATTCTGATTTTGACTGAGGTCTGCGTGGATGATGGATATGGATGAGGCCTTTTTGTTTTCCAGGGTTTAATTTCAATCTATAGCAAGTCCACTGGTTAATCTTGTCGGCAGGTGTAAGTGGCAATCATTTGTCTGATAGACAATTCTCATACATAACTGCGGAGATTATCAAGTTTTTGCCGATCATCAGTTTGGAGAATTTAGTTTTGGTCCAATTTTTTTATCGTCTCAATTTAGGTGAGTGGTGAAGGATTTACAGACTATCTTATTTATTTTGCTTACTTACGATTAGTGCGTGCATGTGGAATAGTGGAATAAGTAAAGTTTGACTAAATATGTATGTAATACATTTTGGGCGTGGGTGGACATCTTGTTGAAGTGGTAGTACTTTCGACATTGTTAATGTCATATATTATATCATGGGCATTTAATTTAAGAAGTGTCATCCGTTGAGGACTGACCAATAGTCAACAAGGCTAAAAACCTTGTATAATAATATTCTTATCACAACCAGAAGGAGTAGTAGTACACAGTGTGAATAAATGTTGTCCATAGGTGAGGTAGGTTTGATTTGTTTGCAGATTTGAGTTGTTGTCACTTTTGTAATCAGAGGATAAGAGAGTACAGGAACGAATGTCACTGTCATGTTGTAAATATAATACAAAATGAGATAGATAAAGGCTACCTATAGTTGGTCGGTTGTTGGTTCACAATTATCTGGCATATTTTATGATGTGTGTCAATTAAAGAGAGAGAAAAGACGACGCCCTAAATCCCTCGCGTTGCTACATCGTCTATATTTTATCGCTTTTTAAGGGACGTCATGTAAACGTAAGCTATTCTCGAGGTTGGGTTATTGATGTTCTTGTTGTTGTTGTTGGTCTGGTGCGAATGTAAAAAAAATGTATTTAATTTCATTGATGATTAATTCGCCGACAAAGCAACAACATGGCAAACTAGCCTCCAGAAGTATAATATTAATCATCTTGTGAATGTGGTGATGACGATGGTGTGGGAAGAATAGTTGATGTGAGAGGAATTAAATAGGGTTGAAATTCAGGGTCTAGAGTCTGTTTTGAAGAAAACCAAGAGTTTGTTATCTAATTTGAGTTTTCTGGAGATTTTGAGAGAAAGCATGGAAAAATTGCGTTGGTCAGAGTATCACAAAGTTATTATCTAAACAGACCTTGTGTACTTTTTAATGAACTCTGATTATTTTGCAACATGAGGAGATGCACAACAAAAGCGGTGGTGGAGAGTAACCTCAAATCATATCTCTAAATTTAAATCCAAACACAATTAAACAATGGATAATATGTTTTGAAATTGAAGTTCTATGACTTTTGTTTGAGTCGTCGAGAATCAAATGGTGGTGGTCATGTGGTGGTAGTGGTGGTGTTTGGTTCATGGCATGTTTTTAGTTCTCCGATGAATGCATTCCATAACATAAATTGTACCCCGGACCCTCATAGATATTTATTATAACCACTTTTGACACATCACTTTTACGTACATCACAATTCATGCATTTGTAATCAGTTGGTTGTATGATTTTTAAGCATTATTTATTATATCGCACGACCATAGAGGAGAATAAACCTCTCTGTTTGCCTTCCTAGAATGCAACGCATGATTACTGATTTATTGGGGTCTATTTATGGAATGGTATACATATTCCTATCTTGTATGCATAATGTAGTAATAAATATATATGTTGATTACAGTCTGTTGTATACATAAGTAAAAAAAATGGCTGGCAATTACGTTGTCGAATTGTTTGAATGGGTCTTTCCACCAATTTATGTGGTCTGTTCTTGATTTCTCTTCAGGGTGTCGGATGTCCCAGGACATGGACGCTGTTGGTCTTCTAAGAAGAAGCGGAGAAGATCATCATTGCAATACTTCAAAGAATCATGAGGACCGGACTGGTTCACATCACTTATCATCATCATCATCTACCTCCGTCGTTGATCTAGAAGAAAATAGCAACGCAAGCAGTGGAAGCAATGAAGGCGAATTCCCCCCTCCGACGACCACGCCCATCATCGGGGAGTCGGATGGCGTTGGTCCTGCCGGAGTCGTTATCGTCATATCGAAAACTAGTGCCAAAGATCACCGATCGTCCTTAGGCATCATGTCGGATTCTAGTGACGGTGGGAGCACGACAACCACGACGGATGATAACCACCACCGACATAATGATCATCATCACCATCACCACTCTGGCTCAAGTCACCATCGTCCTCGTGCCAACTATTGTCAGTTTGAAACGCCTGCGGACGAGTCGAGGGGAACATTCCCAGACGACTTTGACGAAGAGTTGTTCATAAATATGAACACTGGTCAGTTCGTGGAATCCCGAAACGCTCCCAGGCAGTTCGACGCGGACGAGGAGATGGAGATGGACTCGAATAATTCCAATGTCAATCACCACCACCACGGTCTTGACTTAGATACTGCAGATCATTCCGAGTCTAGCGATAACGAAGACATGTTTGACATGAACAGTAAAGTCGCCTTGGAACGGGTAACGACAACCACAGCATTGGATGCAGGAACAACTACGCCCACTTCGAGTCGCGTGGGTGGTCATGTAACCTCCGTCATAAGAAGACTTTCCTCTCCGAAAGAACTGACCGGTGCGATGATGATGGCGTCGAATAGTGAGGAGGAGGAGGAGGAGGAGGAGGAGGAGGAAGATGTTCCGATTAGGACAGGAAGTGTCGTGGGTGGTAACGACGACGACGACGATGATGATGATGAAAGCCAAATAAGCCAAGAAGACGAACCCATGAACCTAGATCTCAACAACTGTACTGACCGCGACGACAACAATGCACCAGCCCCCATCATCATAACGACCAGATGCCTGGTGGACGAGTCTTACAACCAAGATGACGACGAAACTCCGGAGGAGGATCCTGTCGTGGAAGAGCCGACGACATCTTTCCCAAGTTCTATTGTGAGTAGATACATGACTTGACCTCCATCCGTGTACTTTAGTTGTTTCCAAGGCAATGAACCACGTTATTTTCTATTCCATAAATAATTTCATTGGTTACATTTCAGCGCAAAAGAAAGTGTGAAATTGAAGAGCTCCTGCCATCCAAGAAAGCCGTGACGGAAAACGATAATACAATTTCTGGGTAAGTTTGTATTGTTTATCAATTAATTACTTTTTGTCTAATTATTTTATAATAACTTTGTTAGAATAACGCCTGATCGGGAGTTTAACGAGTTTGATGAAGATCTTCATGATGACGACGGGTCATTGACATCTAGTCCATCACTCCTGTCGGACACGAGCCCTGTTCTGGCTGAATGGTTGAACGTGTTTGGTGTACGTATTTATTTGCATTTTTAATTTTTAACAACAATATTTTATTTAAATTTAGGTGGAAATTATGCATATTACTATATATATACATGCGGTTAATTGTTAATGTTGGTTAAGTAATCTTGTTTGCTCATGAAAACTTGCTGTGCCATACTATTTTATAGCACCATTTAATTGAATTTTTACAAACATTTTTACAAATATGTTTATGCCAAATTTTATAATTTGTAAACTTTTTAGCATAATTTTGAATTTCCGTAATTTGAATAATTAGTTGAAATGCGAGAGAAACAGTTTTTACCATGAAGAATGGTTATGGTGGTGGCGTGTGTCAACACACAAGAGACTGAAAATTATTGGCAGGTCAAGTCGCTCTGCAGTCGTTTTTTTGTGTTCTCAGTACTCGGTCTGACTGATTTTTAATTAATAACCATTCATTTAAAAATTTGATTATCAAAAACTTTCAGAGTTGGAATCCAGTTGAACGGCTGAACGCGATTAATCACCTCATTATGTCATCCACATCGTCTGAAGTTCGGCACATGATGAGAGTTATTGAACCCCAGTTCCAGAGGGATTTCATTTCCTTACTTCCGAAGGAGGTAGAATTAATTACTAGCTAAATTAAATTCATGACTTATTATGAATTATAATTTACTGCGTATCTTCTTTTGCAAATTACTTGTCTCAAATTGCAGCTGGCATTGTATGTTCTGAGCTTTGTCGAACCCAAGGACTTGCTCCAAGCGGCGCAAACTTGCCGATATTGGCGAATCTTATGTGATGATAGTCTACTCTGGAAAGAAAAGTGTCGAGAAGCTGGAATTGGACCCTTCAGTGCAATGGCACAGCGAATACACAGCCGTCGTGGTCGCGGAGGAGCTCAAAATCTCGTCATGCTGGGGACAAGTCGCTTGTGTCCAGGGGCAAGTGATAGCAATTGTATTTCGAGTTGTGAGCCCTGGAAATCTGCCTACCTACGACAGCATAATGTCGAAATGAACTGGAGATTCCAACCTATTAAACCTCAGAGAACCTTGAAAGGTCACGACGACCATGTGATAACTTGCCTCCAATTCTCATCTAACAGGTCAGTTCATAAAAATATATACATTGTGTACAACTAATTATTTAATGATACAATTATAGTAGTGAATTTTAATATCCTTCGTTATAATATGCTCAGAGTTGTGTCTGGATCCGATGATAACACACTCAAAGTGTGGTCTGCAACGACTGGAAAGTGTCTTCGAACGCTTGTTGGACATACTGGAGGGGTTTGGTCCTCTCAAATGTCTGGTACAACGATTATTTCAGGGTCGACTGATCGTACATTAAGAGTTTGGAATGCGGATACTGGAGCCTGCTTACATACGCTTTATGGTCACACTTCCACCGTTCGTTGTATGCACTTGTTTGAACGAAAGTAAGGTTTTTAGCACTTTGACCATTACGAAAAGTTAGTAACATTATTTGTTTGCTTTTGAAGGGTGGTGAGTGGCTCTCGAGACGCAACCCTTCGTGTTTGGAATGTTGACAGTGGGGAGTGTCTTCACGTCTTGGTTGGTCATATGGCGGCTGTGCGTTGTGTTCAATATAACGGGAAGATCGTTGTATCGGGAGCGTATGATTTCATGGTTCGAGTCTGGGATGTCGAAAGAGAAGAATGTCTGCATCAGTTGAGCGGTCACACTAACCGAGTTTATTCGTTACAAGTAAGTAACGTATTTACTAGTTTCAGCATTTTATGATTATTGATAATGGTATAAATTAATTGGTATATATTATTATACTTATTATAATGTCCTTTTTTACAGTTTGATGGTATACATGTTGTCAGTGGTTCGTTGGACACAAGCATTAGAGTTTGGGACGTCCAAACTGGAACTTGCCGACATACTCTAATGGGACATCAAAGCTTGACATCGGGCATGGAGTTGAGAGATAATTTGTTGGTTTCCGGAAATGCAGATTCCACTGTTAAAATTTGGGATATTACTACTGGCCAGTGCCTTTTAACCCTATCGGGTAAGACAAATAATATTAGTTGAATATTAATAACAACTGTAGGACAATAAAATTTATGCATGGTTGGACTTTAATTAAAACAGGTTCAAATAAACATCTTAGTGCAGTTACCTGCCTCCAGTTAATTAATAAATTTGTAATTACGTCTTCCGATGATGGAACGGTGAAACTCTGGGATATTGCGACTGGTGAGTGCTCCACCATGTCATATATTAGTATATTCATGGTACATTTTACTGATAATTTTAACACCAATGTTTTTGTTTTAATTTATAGGAGAGTTTGTTCGAAACTTAGTAAGGCTGAGTAGCGGTGGAAGCGGGGGTGTGGTTTGGAGGATTCGAGCATCTGAAACGAAATTAGTTTGCGCTGTCGGTAGTCGTAACGGTACTGAGGAAACCAAACTGCTGGTTTTGGATTTTGATGTAGACTCACCAAAGTATGATGATGGAATGAAGGATGCTTCCACCTGCACGTCAAACAGCCCCTTAAAACCTGAACACTTGGCATCCAGCCTTATTTGTTGATTTTACATCAAAACAATAGATATCTTGTTCCTTACAGTTCCTGTTTATTTACATTCGGTATAAGGGCTCATCCATATATTACGTCATCATTTTCAACATGGGAGGATAAGGAAAATTTCCTATCCTCCCGCGTTGAAAATGATGACGTAATATATGGACAATCTCTAATGATTATTAATTTATATTAATTAGAGTTTATTAATTCGATTTATTCAGATGAGTTCAAATGTTATGTTGCACTGTGTTAAAATTTTTCTAATTTTCAAAATTGTCAAGTTACTATTTTAAATAGTGTAAGCACCGAAATTGTAAAAGAAGGAGGAGGAGGAGGAGGATAATTATTCAGTAGTTTGGCTTTTTGTCGTCGTACAGTAGGGTTTGAGGTTATATTAAGAATTGTTGGTTGAAGCTATCTCCTGGTTATATTATTACGCTTATACACAATCCAATCGAGTGGAATGGGTACTTGTGATAGGTTGCCTTGCCCATTGTCATCATCAAAAGTTTATAAAGTAAGGTGTCCTCATTATGTACCCTGTAATGCAAACCTACCTGTGGGTGTACTATATGTAAGAGAACCGAGCTTCACATTCAGGATTGTTTTGAGATGATAGCGTTTCATACTGTTTGAGTAAGTAATAATAATTTCTTGCATCCAAAAATCATACTCATTGTACTGCATCATTTTGAATTAGTTGCGAAGTTTCCGAATCTCTCGCATCATTCATTTTCTCTTAATATAATACAGTTTGGTAATCTGCATCAGAATTAAATAAGAAGAGGCAAACTATTAAGTTGCAGTGTGATGTAACCCACATCACTAAAAAGCAAATTTTGTCAGGGTTCCATTAAATGATAATGATATTCGCTACGTTCAAATAGAGAGAGAAAGATGTAGCAAAGTAAAACTATAATTATACTACTTAACTACATAAATATAATAGTACCCAACCCACCTTAAAAAACAACAGCTCCAATTAAGAAAAAGTCGACTCGAACTCGAGTATAAGGTCCCCCGCCGCTGTTCAATAATATGCATATTATTATGCTACAGAAACGCAATTAAAAAACGAAGTAAGTACTATAAACAAAAAAAATGAGAGAGTAGAGGACTGGCATTTACTGACATTTTATTAAAAGGCTGATCGGAAACTTTTCTGTGTAGTTGTTGTAGGGACAATATAGTGTTCATCATTCATCATCGTCGTCGTCGTCAATTATTGTGTGTGTCGTCTATCGTCATCATTGCATTTTATTGTGATTGGATTCCTATAAATGCCTAAAATACTAAATCTCATGCAAGCTGTGTAGCAAAAGTTAAAATAAGTGGCTGACAGGCAAATATCATAAGGGTTCTCTGGTGATGAAGGAATACAAAAATCACGCAAGTCTTTAAAGTGACACAAATTTACCACACAATAAAAGAATATACGAATATGCAGGTAAAAAATAATCCATTGTGTTGTCTTGTCGGACGAGTAAAAAAATGATTGAGGCTGGTTTGTAAAAAATAAGAGTAAGAAATCGTTGTTTTACTGTCAAACTCAGGAAGCGCAGTCCCATTCTCTAAAGTTCAAAATTCTTTATTTAAAGTGATATCACGTTCTGTGACTATGCAGCTACTGTTTCATAAATTATCCGCTGTTTGCGCATAAAGGGATACAACAAGTTATAAATCTATCAAGGCGATAGCCAGGGAGGTAATTATATGTATGTACATGTGTAGGTGAGAGTAATAAGCAGACACACAATGACTACTATAAATTGTCTACTACTTGTTTATGCAATTGTTGTATTTAAAAGATACCAAAAAACTACCACAAAAAACTATCTGTCACAGAAGTTGTTAATAAGTGGATACATAATAAGCAAAACATAATAAGTAAGAATATCTGAATTCCTGAACGCAATATTTCTCCTGAAACAGCGAATAAGAGTAAATAGACTGAGAATGCCAATAAAAATAATATGATGATAATGAATATAATAATGTTTCGGATAATTGATAGCTATTAATTGGATACTAATACAGACAATTACAGATTAGTTATTACTAAGATTAGTTCGTCGGGATAATTAATGACAACCAAAAAACCAACTTGATTGCGTTTAAGGTGATACTTTCTCTTAATTTTATTTTGCTGCGTGCATTAAGAAGGCTCCTTAATTCTATACTTTATGCAATTATATATTCTGTGGTTGCTGTCGCCCCCATCATTCGCAAGGAGAAAGGCATCATAATAATAATAAAAATACTGTGGTCGTGTAATAATGGTCAGTTAATTAGTTAATTAATTAGGCCATGATTCATTTTTAAGAGTAGAATTATCACATTTTTTGCCTTTTCTTAACTCTTCCGTTGACAAATATCAATAGACGATGAAAATAAATAATAAATAAATACAGTTTTCGTCACATTGGGTGCGTTGATTCCATATTACGGTCTAAAAATATTATATAATCTCAAGTTTAAAGCCAGTTTTTTTCAAGTTACTATTATTACTACTACATATTACTGATAACGTACATACGAATATTATTATTTTATCTAAACCTCAAGTTTTCCTGTGCTAATAAAAAAAACTTTATGTTAATCAACTCATTCGACCACGAAATTACTACAAAAACTACAACCTTCTCCATTTTTATTAACTTTATTAGTTAAGTTCGTATTACTTTTTACATGTAACAACTAACATGAAAACCAAGATTAGAAAATCACACCGTACAAACGAAACGTTATCAATTATCACCTCTTATAAACATAAAAAACGGTAAATGAATTAATGATTTTTGATTTCACAAACTATGACAAGAATTCGAAAAAATATTAGCATGAATATCTTCAAATAAATAAAATAGCAATAATAAATTATTAAAATTATTACAAACTACTGGAAAAATGAACAATTTGACTTGTCGATGAGTAACAATTCATTAATGGTTATGGGTTTAAACTAAATCCATAATTTGCGATTGTATTTAGTGATTACAAATAATGCAAATTATTGAGGAGAGGGTCACGAGCTTCGTTGAGGAGGGCCGTGCCGGTCAAGAAGGCGAGTTTGCGGGCGTATTGACAGGGCGCAGGGACAGCAACTGTTCCACTCCAGTTGAAGTATCCATGACAGAGTTTAAACGCAAAGCGCTGCATCTTATCAGCATCAAGCCCGGAAGTATCGTGGATAATATTAAAACCAACGGGTGAGACCGTGCCCTGTCGAGCCGACTGTGGCACCAGGTAGAAATCATATCTGGAAGGCACACCATTAATTAGAATATAAAATAAGTATAATCATTTATCACTCTTGTATGATATAAAGTTTACTTACTTCTCAGGACAGGTAATAACATCATCAACGATAGATCCGGGGCTAGGATTAGAGACCCTGTTATCCTTTCCCAAAGCTAGGAAGATTCGGGTATTGATCCTCTTTGTCACAATGACCATTGAGAATTTTGGTTCTCCAACATTCGCGTAATAGTCAGCTATTGAGCTCTAAAAAATATAAATAAATAAGGAATAACATTGGCACACCCACCATCAGTATTACGACAGTCAAGTTAAAGTCATTCTATTCAATTGTAACCTGCAGTGCCACTAATTCAGTCTCCACCACGTATCGAAGTTGCCCCTCACCCACTCCATCTCGGTAAAACATGATGCTACAAAAAAAGCATGAAATTTTACGATTTTATTGAAGATAACTTCAACTGAACTAAAAGTTGGAAATATTGATAACCACATACCGAGTGGGTAGCTCTCCTTCGTTTCGGACTCGATACGCCTGCAGACACTCTGCAGAACATGAACCAATTATTTGTGATCTTGATGAATATAAATTTAATTAAAATATTAATAAAATACTAATATACTTCGCAATGACAATCCTATTTCTCCTGCCATTTCAAGACCCGGCGATAAAGTCAGAACTGTTGAGAAGTATGACGCCAAATTTTGTGAGGTCGTTGCCGTCATAGCACCATAACTTCGTCCACCTCCATGGTGCACATCAAATCCAATTACCATCAACCCCTGCGTAAAATTTATCAAAAATTAGTACGTAAGTTTTTAAACTGATGCTGATCACTATTCATACTTTGAGGGGATTAGCTAGGCCCCAGGGCTGCCCACCCAACTTGGCATTCATTTGAATGACCAACTTTGTGCTGATGGACATGAGTCCCTTGCTGGCAACGTTCTTTGATAGAAAGCATTGCGACGGGACTAAAACACAAACAAACAAAAAATAATCATTGCATGGATATTTTATTACTAACAACTACAACAAATATTTGGCTTACTCCCGTAATTCAGCGAGCAGGCTTTCTTTACTGCTGCATATACGGATAGGTTGGGAGAGGGTAGGATAACCATAATCATATCGAGTTGTCCTCGATTTTCAGCAACCAAACGGTCAATCTCCTTCGTGCATCCAGACTCGTTAGGTGGATTTACCCGAGCCCTAAAATGAATTAACAGAGACGCAGTTTGGTCAATCTTTTCATTATTTTCATTAAAATAAGAGGATAATATTTGAAGCTTACTGCATAGGATTGCAGACTGGGAATCCAAGAGGCCGACCGACACGATCCATTGTTCTCAAGAGGTTATCGATCCCTTCTGCGTCTCTGCTAGGATACAAAATTGCCCATCTTCGAAGTGGTTTGGCCAACAACATTTGATTTGCTGCACACAATAGCACAAATACACAAAAATAATAAATGACCCACAAAGGTAATTAATATTAACTTTGTATGTGTATTAGCATTACGCTAATATCAAAACTTACTTCTGAATGCCATCGTCCAGTCTGCTGTTTCAAAACTAACATTGCCAGACTTAAAGCAGAGTGCTTCCTGGTCCAGTTGGCGTCCTTGAACTTCGCACGGAACGCCTTGCATTCGCATTCCCCAGGCCAGCAATTCGGAAGTTACCTGAGCAAATAAATACATCTTCTTAAATATTGCAAGATTTAAAAATGTTTCAAATTGTACGTGATGATGTAAAACAGAAAAAAAGTCATATTTCTCCACTTACATCATTACTTTCAATCATCCGGCGAACAAACTGGACAGTTTGCTGAATCCTTTGTTGTGGTTGCATATGCAAGTGTCCAGATAAATCCTTCATCAACCTGAAATTAGCCCTCATCTCCTCATTCAATCCGGTTTGATAGCAGATCTCGGGAGGAAGGATCTTGTCCCCGATGTCGCCTCGGCGAATGTCTCGTTTCGTCGGGCTGGATACTAACATTGGTTGTGCGGGGTGAAGTTGGATCCCTTTTTTTGCAAAGTATTCCATAACAGTAATTTGGGTTTCAATGCCTCCACGACTCACAGTAAAGGAGTGGGTGGGTCGGAGGTCCCACTTGATGCCGGTGATTTTATAGGTTCTCTTGTTGTATGCTGTCATTACGACAGTTCCAATTACGGCGGCTTCGATTACCGGTTTAAAATTTCCTTGTGACCTCTCGCGTATTGCCGTCATTAGAGCATAAACTGTCTCAGTCCGACAAACCTTGAAGGTCAAATCCACATTGAGATAAACGCCGCGTTCCATCTGCCGGATAGAGGTGACAAAGCCGGGCCAGAGCTGGAGACGATGTTGAGCAAAGTCGACCTTCTGTTCAGCGTCGAAATAGTAGCGACCTAGCAGTGCAAGGGACAGCTTTTCTTGAGCCTTCTTAACGAGGACGTTATACAGTTGGGTGACGATAGGCTCCCTGTGGTCACATTGCCGAATAAAGTCAATATTAACAGTCCAAACTTCCTCAGTTTTGTCGGGGAAGGAAGCTTCGAATCTTAAATTTTCCATTGGAATGATTCTCGTGGTGAACAATTGCGTTCCCTCGAAGAGATATGGTCCAATATCTGCCTCCCGCATCCTCACCAATGCTTTCCGTTTAGGAATGTGGTCGATCTCCGGATCAAATGTGACCAGATACAGCCGAAATTCAATAGTTTTCTTCATTTGCAATTGAAAGTAGTTTACGAAAAACCTTCGGGCAGTTCCAGATTGCCCTTGTTTATCCAAGCCTTCAGCTCGGGTACGAAGTTCTTCAAATCCTCGTCCAAAACCTAATTCCAAGTTTCAAATATAGAACAAGAAATGTCAATTAATTTAATTAACCTGATGTGACATGGTGGGCTATCGATAATATATTAGCAAGAAGTCATAAATTACGTGATTCATGCTGCGTCTGGACCTCACTTCCTTGTTGGAGCATGGGTCTCACTCGACCTCTTCCTTGGGAACTGCTTCGGGTGGGGTCGTAGGTTGACCTTGGGTTGCCATACTTCTGATCTTGGTCGCACTTTGATATGCAGCGAGAGACAGGAGAGGAGGAGGTGTTCACTCGTTGGCTCTTCAACCACGACTGACGAGGGCTCTCGCATCTCGCTCGCTTTTGTGCTCGCTCGCTCGCTCGCTCACCAAGCAGTCATTCGAGCGCTATACCCACCACCCTTTGTTCCGCTCTTCTTACTCCCTATTTCCCTCCGCGTGCGTGCACCTGCGTACTTAATTTACATTGATAATCACTTGTAATTAGGTTCAAATGTGGAATAATTTTTTATTCGCGGAAGGAAATCAGGCCGAATAAATGGGAATATGCCCTCTCTGACTGTTGCACTTGGCAGAGAAAATCTTCTTTCACGATCGGCAGGTAGCAATAAGATGTTACTTCTTCTACTATGTTTTAAGACGAGGAAAGTCAAAACTTTTCACATTTTGTCCCCAGTTTAACGAAACGTATCGTAATGTTCCAATCAAATGTTCCAGTCATGTGAATTGGCCGAGAGACTGAAGTTCTGTTCATTTTCAAAGCACTCACTCAGATTGATGACCAAAGTCCTTCATTGGCTGGAAAATTTGAGAGTTCTCAGCAACTCAGACACAACTTCAGGATGGCAATTCACATTTTGCAGAATTATAGAAAAAGGTTTGTACACCCAGAAGTATTACATCTAGCTGTTTTACGCACATTAACGTAGTAAATGAAAGCAAAATGAAGGATTCATACTATCAAATTTATCCTTTGTCAAATTTCATATTTGGAAACCACTTTTACTAATAAAGTTTGGAGTGAAGGGTAATTAATGGAAAATGCCAATAAGTAAATACGTGGAGGCAAAAGACGTAAAGGGAAATCAAACACTGGTATTGTTATCTGTGCACCTCATAAAGTCAAATAGATCTGAAAAAGGGAAGCTTCCAACTAACTTGGATCCCTCCTTCCTCATGAAGAACATTGATTTTACTCCCAATCTTTTACTACGTTTAGCCGATTTCGTGAAATTCAAATACTCTCCGACGATGACAAAGCCCATAAGAACTCTTAAAAGTAAAGTATTTACGGGGCAGGTAAATTTACCTCATTTGTTGTTTACGAGCATTTCTCGCCCATTTCATTCACTCCAGCTTTCATGGAAATTACTCTTCTTGTGGGTCTCTTTTCTCAACTGAAAGATGGCAAGAAGTGGGCGAATGAGCATGTACATTATTTTCCCTGGTTTTGAAATTCTGCTGGATCCCGTCAAGTCGTTGTGTAACCAAACTGTTGGGTTTCCGAGTTTCGAGAAAACAACTTCTCTGCCCAGACTTGCACGCTTTTATGCAATAAATGTAATTGCTCAGATTTTATTAGGACATTAAACCATCAACTTAATACTGGGGAAGTATAACCTCCATCATCCCGCGCTCGTATCCTTCCCATACTATTATCATTGTAGGGATACGAGCGCGGGAGCAAAATTTTGATGGAGGTTATGCTTCCCTTACTATACTCGTGCATCGACTGCCAATTCCCCTCCGGACTTTCCCAACAACTTTAGTATGTGTGCAGGCCGTGTGTGTGTGCACCTGTAAATTAACAATACTACATAACACACATGCAGAGATAGCATTTTCTTCCTCAGCCAACAGTTTCCTTCCATTTCTACGATTTTCTCTAGGATCCTTCATGATACGTTGCCTGCCATACATACACGAAGCACATAACCAACCACTCAACAATGACTGAGCGAGTAAGCTGCAGGGGTGATCAAGCAATCATAATTAACCACTGTATTTCTCCCTCGTAAAACTTTCTTTATGGTTTCTGCGTTTGAACTGTTGAAAATTTTGAGAGTTCTTTGATCAAAATAATGCGGTTGATTGACAGCCAGCCAGACTGTTGAGTCTACATGCTTTCTCAACTATGAAGAACCAAGCAGATTTATCAAAAGTCATCCAAATGTTCAAATAACCACGCTGTTCTGAGAGTTAGCAGGCGAGCAAATTTAGTCACCCAACCACAACGCTGCCTGCTCACTGGCAATATTGACTCCTCGGTTTTAATGTCTTTCTCCGTATTTCTCCAGAGAGAGGACTAATTGTTTTCCCGTATTTCATCCACTCTCGTTTTTCTTCTCGAGGTGCTGCAGTAAGAGTAGCTTCAATTCCAAGAGAGAGAGCCAATCCTCGATGATAAGCACCTTAAGTAAACTGTGAGAGAAAGCCCGGCTAATAAAATAACCCGCTCGTTGCTTGTAGAAAGGTATCGAGGCGGAGAGAGTGTTGCGTGCCTTATTAGGGTCAGTTTTGTACTCTGGTGGCTGTGAGTTCACACGCGAATGGTGGAGCGTTCCCTCCTATTTAGCTGGTGATATCAACCTTTATTTGTGCACCCTATTCAGGACATGACATGCATTTACGTATGAAAATATTACTACTGGTCAGAATACGGGGAGAGAAATAATAGTTAAATGTGCATGGATGAATCCGACACACGTAAACCTGGCCCACGGCTGATATAAGGTAAACACGTAAATAAATCCACAAAAGCCGTTATTATTACGTCGCGCTTAACTAAGCAAACTAATGCTCATCATTAATCCATCAAATGAATGAAAAGTCGAAGCTCTTTCACATTTAGTAAAGTCAAACCGCAAAAATTAGAGGTAGCAGCCAAGCTAATGGGCAGGTCGGTCGAGGAATGAAAATAAATCTGGAGCTTAGTCGTCTTCTTTCCAGCAGCTCAGGCGAAGAGAGGGAGAGAAGTTCATCCGTCAGGAATTAATCCCTGCTCCCATGATGCGCAATGAAATTTCTCAAGATTACTCACTGATTGATTCACTTTTAATTAATGCTTTCCACCATTAGTCATAATCTCACTTTTCTGCAACCGTCCAAATACTTCATCACGGATTTCGGCAGGTTAAGGATGTCAAAAGTTGCCTTGCCCAATTTCTCCAATTAAAGGAAATATGGCTAGAAAAAGACGCATTTTCTATACAGCTTTCACCTCTTGGTTCGAGTCTAAAATTCAGTTTAAGGTCAACTCGATTTACATTGGTGATTGAATTAGTGACTCGTTGATTGCAAATTTACTTATTTTGCAATTCAAAGAACTACATCTCAAATTTGCGAGTAAATAATAAAATAATATTCGTACCCGAGTTATGTTATGATACTACGGATTCCTTTATTTGACCATCGTAAACTTCATAATTGTTTGCAAACAAATTAATCCTTTACGGAAATCAATATTCAGTGCTGCAACTGATACACTTATAGTACTATACACAATCTACGTATATATATACCATGAGACATGAGACAGAAATATTTTTCTCCACACAGACAACTGCGTAGTAACATAACCACTTATCATTTCTGATGAGACAGTTCAGACCCGCAAAAACAACAACAACAACATTACGTACGTTATGCAATTCTTGTTTTCAATGGAAACTTTGCTATACCCGGACCTTTTTGAATCCGTTTCATTGCTCAGAACAATAATGTTTCGGTGAGAAGCTTGTCCAAAAACGTAAGACTCTCTCCTGCACAGACACTCCGGTTTTAAGGCGGCCAGACACTAACTCGCCCCTGCTGCTCGGCGTCCTCTGTACATATCGCTATCATCATCATTGATATCGATAAACATGTTAGACTAAACCAACCATCATCCTTCTCTTCCTCTGTCTTCTCATGGCTCCCCGTCATCCGATGGGAGAAACAAGTCGAATTTTATTCCATTCCACTGAATTTCTGGAAGAGAAGGGTGATCCATTTGATCCGATATGAATGCCACTCTTCACTCAACCAACCAGCCAGCCAGCAGTAGAAGCAGCAAGCAGTAAGCAGCACTTCATGTCGGGAGAAAACCACAGGACGGAGGGAGAGAGAGAATCCCTCTCGGTTGGTACTTTCCCCACTCGTCTCCCTTTTGCCATGTTTCTACAATTTTAACCCGAACTTTGTCCCACTGCGGGGCAGTCTGTGTTTCGGCGTCAAGCCGTCTACTTGTTACTTTCCCCTCTCTCTCTCTGCCTCGTGAAACCTCCACCTCTCATCCTGTCTCACTTTCTCCCCTTCAGAAAAACAGCCAAGAAAACAACTAACCTCTGCTGACTAATTCCCAATTATTTCATACTTGACTTCGCCTCCTACCCGCCCGGCTTCATGTCATCACAGTCGAAATAATCAAGTGAATCGTAAGTATCAGAGTCATTCTCATTTGTCATTAGTAAATACTCGCCCAGATTTTGCTCCTAATCGCAAGCAGATAAAGAGTAATGAGAAAAGTGTGCAGAAACTTGATCTTTATTTGAGGAACCCTTCTCTTAATAATGAATATTGGAGTCAGGGCGAGAAATTAAGAGGAAACTAGATTTTAATTTTCCCTCGTAAAGTAAGTATCAAAGTAAGTTGGCAAGTTGCACGATATTCCAATTATTAGAATAGGGGAGCAATTGAAACTCGTGGGGTAGGCTTTTGCCCCGATAAAGTAGAAGAGCAAAAGCCAAGCTAACGACAACTTTCTCTTCTTCTATTTCTCTAGAAAACAAAACAAGGAGAGAATTGTGTGCCCTAATAATTTCCTGACGGAGACACATCTCCACCATTGTTCTCACTTCCTCCTCTTCCTCCAGCAGTGTGTGGGGGATGTAACAATAATAAGCAACTCAACCATGGCAAAATAGCGAAACAATAAAACGGGACGATATTTGCACACAATTGCGAGCAAACGGACTTTGGCAGAGTTGAGTGAGTAGTGAGTTTAATAACGGAGACGACGACCAAGAAGAACGAACGGTTTACTGTTTATAATACTAAGTTGAGCTGCTCCTTTCCTGTATTGTTTCCTTGTGTCCTGGCCAAACCGACCAGAAGAAGAAGAAGAAGAAGAATACGGCGACGAAGACGACTAGCCATTCCACGACTGAGGCGGAGAAGCGGCGGATGGACGGATACCCACTCGCATTGCAAATTGGAAAAGTTATACGACAACATGTCAACCACAGCACGGTTAGTAACACAACATCCGATTCTTGATGTCCGGTCCCTGAGTTTACCTCAGTTCTTGTGTAAATCATCAGTCTTTCGGTAGGTTTAGTCGCTTCTGGTCCTTCCGCTCTCATTCGTTTTGGCTTCCTAGCCCAGGTCCTGATAGATATATTGTTGGTTGGACCATACGCCGCGGAAGCTGTGGGGGCATTTTTGGGCAGTAACATTGTAAGCTGGCAGTGGAAGGGCCATGCTAACCTTGAAGGGATTTGGGAGGTTTCTTTATTTTTGAGGGGGCATGATCCCAACGTCACCAGCATTCCGCGGCCCCTAGCTTGAACTCGAAGTAGATAGAGAGATACATAAGTTGAAACCATGTGAAGCAAGTGAAGTGTGATTAAACTAACAACTACTAAACCCAACCTTCATCCAGTGCTGAACTGGACTGGTTTTCAGTTCCTGGTGGTTCGTGGTGGACTATTGAAACAAAGAGAAAGCAGGAACGAACCTACATACATAAATACAGAGCCAGCCTATTATTATAAATGTAGGACTCACACAACTACTTATGTACAAAGGCCAGGCATAATAACAGCTCATCTTTTAGCCTTAGTGTAAGAAAATGATGAACCTTCTTTTGTGCTTATGGTGCAATTTATGAATTTGCCAATTCATTTGCTTCCTTCCCCAACTTGAGCATCGCCATCTTCTGCTTTCTCTCGTCACACATAAAAAACTTTTCCTTATACAGATGATATTTTATCATTGTGGCATTATCATTTGCCAAGAGGCTGTCCAGATTGGTGTTTAGAAGGGAAACTTCTTTAGAAACGTTGATAAAGGCGATCAAATCGGTAACCTAGCCGGAGAGGGAAATGAAATGAACAATGGGCACACAAAGACGCGCAGCAGGTGAAGGGACGGGTAGCATTATAAATGATCAATTGTTACAAAAAAGAAAGTCGGAGAGAAAAGGATACGTATCTCATCTATTTTCAGTCGTGATGTGTGGTGGTAATAGTAACAATGGTTTCACAGTATGCAGTGATGCGTGGGTAACTAAGTAAGTGTGTTGGCTGGCCTTTAGTAGGAGCAACCGATTTTTTTCATTCTTCTCCTTTTAATGGATACCAGCATTAGCAAATAGTACCTTGCAGCTCAAACAACTGAACTAGTTCCGGATTACATTTGAACTTTTAAAAAAACAGACTGACCAACCGAAATTCCACTCTTTTTGCAATAAGAACACAATCGAAAGCTGACCTGGTTTCGTTTAAAGGTCTGAATTACTTATTGGATTGAATCATTCATCTCAAAGAACAATATCTAAGAGATAAAGAAATGGAGAAACCTTGGAGCAAAAAATACATCAGAATGATGAGCCCATGATGTGATTAGCTTTCTTTATTATATTAAATTAAGGTCAATCTAGGTGTACTTATGTCTCACATGTTCCACAAAACTCGACAAAGTGGTATCATTTTAAAACAATTTTTGGTTGGTTGCTGCCTAAAGTTTACGGAGGGAGCAAAATTAGTTGGTTGCGCCGAGTCTTGGACTTATAAACTCTAATTTCATTAGTTGATGGTGTCGTGTTAAAAAGTACTATGCACGACACAGGACAGTAGAGTGGCCACATATTTTATCTTTCGCATGGTAAAATTGCTTCGAGGGGAAAAATCCACCGTGTAATTTGGACAGAACTTCCCCTATTTTTTTGTCCCCTTGTCACAATTTTAAATCCACTCTTAATCCATTTACTGGCTTTGCATTCATTAAAGGTGGATATTCTAAAATTAGCTTTGTAGTCAATGTACTTTATGCAGAGGAAGAAGTGAATGGGATGCGCTGTAAGCTCTTCTCGTTTACCTGGAATAGAAACAAATAACCAGATTTTATTATTTTATTATTGTAATTTGATTACTTGTAAGTCCTTCTTGCATAACAGCGTCTCTTAGAAAGTTAAGGGGACTGGAGATTGAATAAACGATACCCTTATTCGTATTAAGAACCGGAATTAATCCCGGCTTTATAGCAGCATTATTGCTTATTAGGCAATTGTTGTATCTCATCCTTAAACACACATTTATCTTAAGGTAGGCAAACTAGTAGTGGTCGTATGATTGGTTTACTTTCTCTTTTTCTCTCTGGGAGTAAAAGTGTGTCTGCTTCTTGTTCTTTTTACCTTTATTCTCATCCTCCTCCAAACTCTCAGGATGTTCAGCTCTCTGAATTCAGGAAAAATTCTCTGGGGACAGGAAGCATGTAGATAATGTAATTTTGCGAGGAGAATGGTGGAAATAAATGGACACATTTTTGCAGGTACGTTAAATAATGCCGTAAATGAGCTGAAATTGAATGGCTTTAAGCATTGTTACTCTTATTGGATGGAACAAGTTTCTCTGCTGCTGCTGCTGCGTTCTATGTCATCATGCCTTTGGCTGAACTGAAGAAGGACATGATACGAGAAGAAAGTGGGGAAAGCATGTACAACGACGACGACGACGACGACTTGTTTCTGTGTTCCTTGTTCCACCTCTTCCTTGTGTTTTTTGGTTGTTTTGTGCGAGAGAGATTTTGGTATGAGGAAAGTTGGAGAAAAACAGCATGGTGGCGAAAGCAATCTGTTGGATAAAAATGTGAATGTACATGGCGATAGAAACTTGCTGAATACTTTTCGCACCAGTTGAGTAGTAGGAAAGCGGAAATGCCGGACGAGCATGCTAGCTACACAAACAACATGTATTCTCAAACGATGCATGCTGCGTGCAGTACACAACTCGGCGAATACTTTCTCCATTAAATTAACCTTAAACTAAAAGAAAAAGTCTGATATCAGCGGAGAAAACATTCCAGGGCGGCAAGAAAATTAAAAAATTACGTGACAGGTTCGCTCCTTCGATCGGCCGGATTAGCAAATTGGTGGTGGCGTCGTCGTCGTCGTCGCGCAAACTAGAATTTTATACAGATAAGGAAATTCCGTAAATAAATGTAATCCGGATTTATTCATTTTCGGAAACCATTTAAATCATGTGCTCACAGATTAATGACTCGCTGGTCAAGAGCGATACGCTAGTGTCCATATGTACGAAAATAGTTCTGAACGAGGCAGTCAGGATGACTGGATTTTCACAGATTTACGAGGCTTATAATAACACTCACACACACTTCTAACACGCATTGCACATACACTAAAGTGGAGTGAATGAGCAAAGATAAGGCTACGCAATATGGTGAATAACGACGACGGGCTCTGTTAGTCTGTTGGTATTCGAAGTAACAGTCAGTGCAGTTGATCGTTGTGGTTGGTGGGCCCACTCCTTTTGAGACTTGATGAAAGTTGAGTTTTACTTTTGTTCCACACTTTCAACTTTCTTGAGCAATTGAAGAACTGTCCAATTCTCGTAGAAACAAGTTCAACTCCCATTTTACTCCTCTCCATTGTGTTGTATGTACTGTATCCAATTGAAGTGAGGAGATGACGCAAGTTTAGTTGATGAGCAGCAACCTCTCGCAGCGTGTGCCCACTTTTAACCGTATTCCTCTCTCTCTCTCTCTCCTCGTATCGAGATCACATCATCACCACTTCCACCACAGGAAAAGTTCTTTTCCAAGGGCCCCAGGATCCACTTGTCTGGAGAATTTGTCTTACCTTCACCAACTAATTTAAGAGCATGGACGGGGTGATGAGTTTAATTGCTGAGAAAGAGTTGAGACTTTTTCACCCAAGTTGGAAAAAAAGTTAACTGCGTTTCTTACATAAACACGGGTGGTTTTTAATGTATCTAATTGTGACTGGTGGGTTGGGGTGGAGAGAGAAGACTGGACTGGATTAGTACGTATCATGTAAATTAGTGTAGATACATACGCCTGATCGGCAACGTGTTTCATCTTTCACACAATTCCATAACACAAAGTCAGGCTTGCTATTTCAGCTGCCCAATTTCTCACACCCATTTTCCTACTAATTAACACAATCAATGGGAAGCTGGCTCACCTGGTAAATCATAACAATAATAGAGTGGTGGAAAAGAGAGATAGGGTGAGATTAGAAAATACATCATATATTCTGCACACGTAGATCCTATTGGTTGGAGGAAAAGAAATTGGGCAAGTCAGCCAAAATAAGTACGAGAAAGCAGGCAGGCAGTCATTGCAACTGTGTGTAACTTGCGATTTCTTGGTATTTGCGTGGGTTGCGATTTTACTACAATGGGCAGTAGCGTCACCAACAGGAATATGGTGGTTAGTCTAAACGTGGAATGGAAGAAACATAACGAGGCGAGAACAACGGGTTAGATAAAATGAAATGCGAATCAAGTGCAACTTTGTTTGTTTGTTTGTGGGTTCAAGTAGTCGTGGAATTGCTACAGAATGGTGGTCGTCGTAGCGTCATCGTGCATGGGGCAGATGTGGAATGGAAGAAAGTACTTGCCCACTCCAGTTCTTGGTTTGTTTTAACTAAGACGCTGCTCAGAGTGTTGTGAGCTGAGGAGGGAAAGAAATAAAAACACTGGTCGTCGACAACGACGCTCTGCAAATTAACCTTATGCGGAAGAAAGGAATGGTCAATGTAAACGATTTTTTTATCACCACATACAAAGAAGTATACGTACCAGTCTGACCGACTGGCTCGACAGTAAGGCACTGATTAAACTGAACAAGATTTCATCAACTAGCTTTCCTAACTATTCTCAAGTACGAGGAAACATTGTACACGAAAATATAAATATGCAGGAATTTAACATTTAGTGCGAAATTAAGTCATTAAACTCAAGTGACCCGCCGATATGGTCTTGACGAGCGAAAGGTCAAATGACGGAGGTGTGTTTGTTGTTGGAGAAAGGTTTCCTTGTGCACAATAAGTGATGACTTTCTCCACTCAACGACCACCACCACAACAGTCTCGCAACACTAGCCTCTACTGCTATTACTCGCGTTTTAGCCATTTCCAAACTTGCCGAGTTACACTTCTCGTCTGTATCTTATTAGAAACTCTTGTTTTCCTGGGGTCCGTACTG